GTTTACCTCTAACTTTATTGGAATATTATACACATTTTCTGACTTTGTTTCTAGTCAGGTGTTTGTAAAGGGACAACAACAGCATGATGTACTAAGAAAATGTTTACGTTTTTTAAATAGTAAAGTTTCCTTAGCTTATTTCTGTCGGCTGGAGAGCCTTTCTTCAGGACCCATACATCGCCATTAGGGGTAGGTTCGGTTTTGGAAGAGGATGACAAGCTTATCACGTCAATTTCGAATTGACTAAACAAAGAACTTGCGTTTGATGGATATGTGTTTGGTACAAACTTCTACACTGTGACTGACCACTAGGAGTTAAAGTTTATTTGCCATCCTACTAAATCACTCAAAACATGAGATTTATAATTGAGTGTTAATGACTTGCTCATTGAACACTGAGTAGCTAAAAGCATAATACATACAGATTTCCTGTTACGCTATTCAAATTTTGAACGTTCACCAAACGTGAGTAATTAGTAGCAATGAAAAAATATTTTGACAAAGCCTGCACACGTCATTTTTATAAACAGGATCAATATGATAGAATGAGATTTAAAATAAGTGTTTGCAAATAAGGTGGAAATCCATCAGAGCTGTTAAAAGAGGAATTGGTAGATCGGGAATGATTTACAGAAGTGCTTTGGGGAGTTACTTGCTTCATGGAACTGTTTAATAAGTTCGCAGTTCTTATGAAGTAGAAACTGGAAGGCGCTTGGTATGTATTGAACGCCAGTATAGGAACCTATTTAATTAATTTCTGTTTATTCTACATATCATATTATCTAACTGTTACACGAGTTATTTTCCGACTTTGCTGTTGTTAAAATTTTAATGACCTACAGAGAACTGCTCGTAATGCGATTGGGTAAAATTCAAATGCGATGTTCCTCTAGTGTTCTCTAAAACTGTTCTACTTGTCTGTCGAACAGTAGACAGTTGCTCAAATCGCTCGCTGTGACAAACAGGAAGTTGATTTCTTGTTCTACGTTCCTCAATATCACACAAGAATCTTTTATATGTACATATAATTCATTGATTCAGGATTTATAGTAAAAAATCTCGTTGTTACATGTTGTAGATCACCAACGTAGATGACCTATATCGAAATAATTGGAGGCCTACTCGAGTTAGACGTGAATGGTGTGACAAACTGGCTAACGTCGAAGTCACACCTCGCGGTCAGCGCTTTGCGTGGACTACCCCATTGACGTATCAAAGTACCACAGATGCTTTGAAGACTGTACAACACAGAGGACGTTAATACAGAAATATATTGGTTAAAGTAGATACAAGCGAAAGTAAGACCACTGTCGCATGAGCCAGTCCATGGTATACGATTAACTGATGCGCGTTGGTTGTCCCTGACCTTGACGAGGATCGATGATTTGCTCGATATTCAATGACCCAACCGCCGGATGATTTGGCTAGAACTTAGTGACATTTCGTTGGCCCTACAATGTCATGGTGAAAGTAAGACATACGAAGGCGCACTGCTGAGGAGTCCCATACCAGGGCGAAACGGCCGTCCAGTGCTTCCAGGTTTTCAATGGTGGTCTAGCTTCAACTGACTCATGATTTCAACTTGTGAAAAAAAATAGTAATCAAAATAAAGCAGGATTTTTATGTGTTTTAAGAGTAGTCTCAGGATTTGGTCTAGATAAATATGGTGGTTACTACATACCTATCTGGCCAATGTACTCTTCTTCCTGATCTTGTTGTAGTTTGTGCTGCTGCTGAACTTTGATTTGAAGTGTTGCTTGTTGCAGGTAGTTTGGATGGTGCTTGCTCTGCTGCAGGTTTAGACGGTTTTATACGGTTAGATTTTGATGAATCAGTTGACCGTTGTTGCGATACACTTGAAACACCAACTGATGATGAATGTGATGTTTGACAGGTGTCCGAATAATCGCAAACAGGATCAAAAACTCCTGATGTCGCTGGTGCTGATAAACGTCCCGTCGGATATATCATCAAGAGCGGATATCCAACAGCTGACAAAATGAAGTCGATGAGAGAGAAGTCTGGGGTACTGACCCATAGAGTGGAATGGGAATCAGGTAAGGCACGTTGTTAAGCTTCCCCGGACCGAACTATCATGAGTTGTCATGCGACCCAAGTTTTCAGCCTAACTGATGTCACTTGGACCCCATAAGTTGGTTGGAGAGTACATTTGTTCTGAATTTTTGGGGCCAGTTATGCCATGGTGCGCTGCTGCTACAGGGGTGCCAGATGTCTGCTGCGGGCGTTGAGGGCGACCAGACTTTGAGTACCGCATATGGCGAACGAACGGACGTGCGGACACTGGTGGACCTTCTGTCTTTATGTGCTGTACGACGGTATGCGTCGGTTTGTCATGTTTGAAACTCGGTCGTAATAAATCTGGAAACTGATTAAGTAAATTGACGTATTTGTCGTACTCGTGATGAGGTTTAACTAATAAATGTATGGAAGTCTCATTTGATATAATTCCTCTAATTTCCTTACTCTGTTCGGCAAGGACAAGTTTCCTATTTCTGACGTCTACCAGTATTTTGTGGAATTGCAGAAAATCAATGCCGATTATAGGAACGAGGACGTCCGCTATGATGAAACTCCATGAAAAACTAGATTTAGGACCGAAATTTAATTGTAACCGCCTTTCGCCATACGTCTTGATGTCAGACCTGTTTGCTGCTTGTAGTTTTAGTTTGGGGTCAGGTGTGTTTTTCTCGAGTGCAGTAGGTGGTACTACACTAACCTCTGCCCCAGTGTCGACTAAAAACTGTGTGCCGGTTCTTTTGTCTGTAACATATAATAGACTGCTGTCTTGAGAGTTGTGGTCAGTGAGTGCAGTCGTCATTAACCGGCGGTCTTGACGTCCTTTTTTCTGTGTGCTTGCAAAGTTACAAGGCGGAGTACATTTTCTAGCTTGTTTGCCATATGTTCTATGGTACCAACAAATGTTGTGTCTAGTAGTGCTTGGACTACGTCGTCTACGGCTTGTGGATGTTCCTCTACTCTTACTGTGGGAGGCATTCAATAAATGGATCTGAGCTATCTGTTTGGTAAGGGTATCAACTGATCGTCGTAACTCGGCGATCTCGTCAGTTGAGCCTGATTGGATTTGAGATACAGGGTGAGTCTTGGACCGTTCGTAAATTCTGTCGGCTATGTCTGCTAGCCTATCAAAATCGACGTCTTCGTCTCCAATTGCAAGTATCTGTTGAATGTTTTGAGGGAGACGTCTGAGCCACAATTGATATAGTAGACGTATGTCTACTGTACGATTTCCTAATAAGTTTGTCATGTGGCGTTTTAACTGTGGTGGTGTATTGTCACCTAGCTCCACGTTGGCTAAAAGTTGATCAATTGTCTGTTGGTCGGTGAGAGATGTGACACGAATGACCTCTCTTTTTAGACAATCGAATGGTGAGTCAGGATCCGGCTTAAAAATGACATCAGGCACTTGTTCAATGACGTCGTCCGGTAGCAGTGAGTTTGCGTAACTAAATTTCGTACTCTGATTTGTGATTTTGTTTGCAACAAAAAAGCTTTCTAAGAGAGCAAACCAGAGTTCAGCCTTTCGTGGATTAAAAATAGGTAAAGGTACAGAGATGGCACCCACGGAAATATATTTAGATGATAGGCTTAGCGAATTATCAACTGACATGGTACGAAGGAGCAATAATAATAATAAACTGAGGTTTGAAATATACAATGTGAAGAAATCAAAAATAACAACAAAAAATATATAAGACTCACCGAAAAGAAAAATTGTCACTTTGGGTATATATATGAGAATATACAGTAATAATTCCAAAGGGAAAATGTTATGAGTGAATTTACTATGACTGTCAATGGATTGTTATTAATTATAATAATAATTCCAATATGAAGTTCTTTATGATACGCTTGAGGAGGATTCAGCGGACTTTGTAGGAAAATGGTGCGCGTTCTAAAGGCGGGTCACCAATATGTTGAGGCTAATATCCTCAATATCTGACTCCAATAAATAATATCCCGTAAACTGAGTATTAAAGGTAGGCCTAATCTCCTAGTAGAATTGCGGATTTACTCGAGATTATTGAGAAGCCTGAACACCAGTTATAGAGATAGTTTATTATTAATGATTAATAAAAATCCACAAGCGTACGGTGAGCAAGCACACGATGAAACAGAGTGTGTGTGTTAAAAATCCATATATATATTTGAGAGTTTATCGGGTGTGGATAAATTATCGATTATCTGCACATTGCAACCAATAGGAGGATAGCTTAAGAGTTAATGTACAGACATGCATCCGATCATACACACCGAAATTAACATAGTGAATTAAGAGTCTAAGTTACAATGAATAGACAAATGATACAGTGGCCAAATGGGCTTGCCACAAGTCCCATATTAGGACAAGACGGCCATCTATTGCTTCCAGATTTTCCATGGTGGTCTAACCTTAGTTGACTCATGAATTGAACTATTAACTTACTATAATAACCACAAACAGAACTGTACGTGATAGGAAACGACTGAAAAAAAGAGTCAACATTTTAGGTCATTGAGATAAAAATTCTTTACTCCGAATTTTGGCTTAATGTTCTGTGTGACTGATACGAATCTTACTGGATCGATCAGGGTAGGGAGGAAGGCAATTAATGGACCAAATCGAGATATATTCGCTGGCGATCTCGTGGCATCGAAAGGATACCGAGATCGTGCCAGGATACAAGCTTGATTACAGAACGTACCGAATTCGCGCGAAGTCACAACCAAAAGTGTAAGTAAAAGAATGGAAGCACAAAATAGCTGTCATTAGCACAGTCAAACAAAAGCACGTTAAAACAAATACTGATACAATTGGCTATAATAATAATTGTTTTCAATAAGCCAATCCTGTTCTCGTGATAAATGTGGGTCACTACAGGCTGATGATTTCAACCAGTGATATTTCTAAAATCTCCACAAAACCCCTTCCCACGAGAAATAATTACCAATACCCCTTACATACAAATCAAACAAAGAAGCAATGACTAAAGATCATTTACATAGACCTGTAAATTTGATTCATAAATTGTATTCATCATTTATGAGTGGTTTTCAAAAGGGTGAATAATAATCATAGTAATAATAATATCCAAAAAAACGCCCTAGTAATTATCCCATAAAGTTACAGAAATTGAATGAACAAAAAAAGGTGGTGGTACAATGAAAAGAATTGTTGCTGCTTCCTTCCTTTTTTCTTTTTTTTTCTTCTTCTGTGAGCTTTATTCATAACTGTTCTCGAATAATGAGCTTACACAATAATATTTAATATACTTAAACAGTACAAGTTTAGTATGTTCCAATAATGGGTATCATAAATGTATCTCAATGAAATCTTTATTATCCATTTAATCATAATATTTCAATCAATTATGTAATATGACATATAATCTATTTATATTTATGATTTACCACCACCTGAAAATTTTTGTCTTAAAGCCATAATTGCTGGGGATATATTCGATACAGATTTGGATCGTTTCACTATTGATTGATTAGATTGTAAAGAAGTATCATTATGATTTATTGATGATGATGATGTTGTTGTTGTTGTTGTTGCTGTGGTGGTGGTGGTGTTGGTTACTGTTGTAGTAGTTGTTGTCATTGATGATAATGATCTTGATGTAGATGTGAATTCATTCGACTGAGGAATATTACTTTTGGATTTTTCTTGTGAATTTGTTTTGACATGAGTTTTATCTTTTTTTGTTGATCTCATAAAGAGATTCTCACGTGATTTACTAATCGTTTTAATAATAGAATGATTATTATCATTATGATCAGATAGATTCTCTTTGAAATCATTCAATGAATTTGGTTCAACTGAATGAGCTTTTTCAAGATGTTTATTATTAGAATGATTAGACCAACGAGTAAAACGATTAGTAAATGATAAACGTGAATGTGTTGTACCATTATTTATTGATTTATCTGTATTATCAATTAATTTTAATTGATTTTTATCATTTTGTTTATGATGATGATGATGATTCGTTGTATTGATTTTATCGAAATCAACGTTTAATATTGATTTTGATTTATCATCAATTAGTTTTGGTGATAAATCAGTAGTATGTTTATTATTATTATGAGTAGTAGTGGTAGTAGGAATAAGATTAGATGAATTATTTAGATCATTTCTTTCTTCAGAATTACATAAACTTAATTGACTTGTTTTAGTTGATTCATTATATAATAATTATGATAATTTGTATGTTGTTGTTGTGTATGATGATGTAAATCAATTTCACTGGATTTATTCTCACGATTCTCTTCAAAGAACATACGTCTTGCTGGTGAGATAACACTTCTAATTGGTGGTTTACCTAGAAACAAGTAATTATATATATCAGATGAGTTTTGTGGATATTATAGTAATTTCAATGGTTAAGATCATGAGGAGTCCCACAATAGGACGAGACGGCCGGCCAGTACTTCCAGGTTTTCCATGGTGGTCTAGCTTCAACTGACTCATGATCTTACCCATTGAAATTATATATATGTTTAACTATATTGTTCATCATAAATTGATATCAATTAAAGAATACAAATGAGGGTCGAACAGATATTTTAATCTACCTTAAAGCTTCTCAAGTGTGTTCATATACTTCTTAATCTAGATAGGAACTTATGATTATAAAGAAATTCCACATCACAATAAAAAAACCCAGTGCTTCCAGATTTTTTCATGATGGTCTCATGAATTCAACTATAAAATTATTAAAATTTCCACAAAACCCATTCTGATAATAATCATCGTACGCTCACTAGTAACTGTCTCCAAGAAGTATTTCCTGGAGTTCCAATGAAAAGCCGTGATTAGTGGAGTTCAACTGGGTCTGTTGTGATATAGTAACTCACTGAAGACAATGGTGAATGGTGGCTCAATTTCGTGGATTGGTTGTAGTTAGACATTAACACCGTTGGATGCCAACCGGTTCAGTGGTCTAGTGGTTAAAGGGTCGCGTGCGAAACTGATAGGTACTGGGTTCGAATGTTGAAGGGGCGGGATCATGGATGTACACTGATGAGGAGTCTCATATTAGGGGTAATCGGCCGTCCAGTGATTGCAGATTTTCCATGGTGGTCTAGCTTCAATCGACTCATGAATTTAACTAAAAAATTAAGAAATATCTGTTCAATACTACTGTATTGTCAGTGGTTCGCTTGTTCATGTTAGTTCGTGGTGAAAACAGTCTTTACAATGAACAAGTCTCTACAAATTATCTGCAAACATACCATTGATAGATAATTCATTGATACTATGAGCCATTATAAATTTCAAATAGAATTGAATTAATTCTGAAAATTTTCATTGTAAAATGGACATTAATTCATGATTCGTTCATTTACAATTGATATGGCCTACTGAGAGATAAATTGATCATTGTAGTAGGCTGAAGATAATAAATGAGAAACTTAGACTTGATTCTAACTAGTGCTCGTCAGTAGAGTGTATCTACGATTTCGAGGGAACTGATTTTTGTTGTGGAAGTTGTAACTAAGTCACTGGATGCCATAAACAGAAACACTATCGCCAGGCTATTTGGGCCATGATTGACCTGTAGAATTTACGTATTTGTATTAATCGATCACTGATTAGTAGGTAATGTTATATTTGTCTAATCTTGAGTAGTGATAGAACTCCATCGATCAAGTTACAGTGCTGTCATTAACCTTAGTGATTCAACATTAGATTCTACTATTATTTTCCTATTAGTCAGGTGGACGCTTTTGACAAGGCACCATGGTCTTAAGTTTTGTGCTTATTATGGAAAAAGTCTTCAATCCCAAACAAACTGATTTTATCCGTGTGATTTACATAAATGTAAGTGAATATTCTAAGTTTGTTTGTTAAAATTTAGTCCATAGAAAAGAGCGGACAATATGAAGTCAGTTGTTTCTACGATGAAGTAACGATCATTTAGATAACTATTTAAATTTAGAACAGATACCAAGTTGTTATTTAATTCTTTTCTCGTGCTCTGTTACAAGACGTCTTTTATCAATTTATCAATAGGAAAACGTAATCATTAAACCTCAGTCAGTCAGTCAGCCAGCTACAACGTAGGACCAGCCACATATATGCATCCGTCCAAGTTGCCACACCTCATTAGCACAAAAAGACGAACACCAAATTCATAGAAGTAGTAATATGTAGAAGATTGCATATAAGGATATAGTACAGGAAAAAGAATTAGTTGGTAGAAAGAAAGATATGAAGCGATTTTAATCTCATAGTTTAAAGGAAGACATAGAGTATATACACCTACACCATTGAGATCGATTCTAAGCCATATCACATAGAGTCTCTAATCATTGGTTACGATAGTCACGTGCACCCTAAGCAAGTAGTGTGCATTTACCAACATGGCTCAGACTAGAAGTTAGTGACTTCAAGCACTGATGTCACGTTTTGGTTTGGCCGCCCCTAACTTTCTTCCAACCATTCCCAAAACTAGTCAACATTGTGCGTCGTGTTAATCGGTGTTCAGGCATACGTAACACCTGGCTCAACCATCTCAATCGATGAGGATTTACAACCTCATAAACTGATTTACATTATTCTCTAATACCCTGTTTCTAACCTCACTATTACTCACCAAGTGATCCCAGCAGTTGCGAGCAATATTTCTAAGTCATCTGTGGTCCAGTACTAGCAGCTTACGAATTTCTTCTACTCTTAATGGCCACGTTTCTCAGCCGTAAAGTAGAACAAAACGAACTGTCGCGCAGTATTAGACCTAGTCTAATAGTGTAACGTCAGTGGTTTCACAATATTGATAGTTTTGGTTTTACAATGAGTGAGTTAATCAATCTATATTAGTCTAAAGAAATCCTGTTTACAAATATTAATGTTATTTGAGGACTTTACTTGCCACAGATCGATCTCCGTTGAGATATCAATGAAAACTAGGAGGCATTGAATAGCTGTTTCATGATAGCATGTTAGAAGTTGTGACTAGTTGAGGTTATTTAGGTGGAAAGTGAAATAGTTGTCATGAATGGTATGAGATGGGATCATAATGTGCCCATTGTTAAGAAGATTCATACGAAGAAAAAATAGCTGTCCAGTGCTTCCTGGTTTTTAGTAGTAGTCCAGCCGAAGTGAATCTATGACGATGAGTCTCTTCTGAGTCAAACATAAACGTATTTCTCTAATAGCTATCCAACTGATTGGATTAGCTCAGTAAGAAAATTAGTGCTTACGTTTCCCTAGTCACTCAAGTATTTATAAGTCAATAATCCCTTTTAAGCATAAAATATACCAGGAATTATTTCAATTGCAAGTTATTGATTCGAATCACAATCTTAAACATTTATCTCATGAGTAAATTTACGTTTTAAAATGAAGGTTTATCCAGAATGGAACCACCGAAAATTAGGGTCTACCAATTAATCATTTTGTCTCATTTAAAGACACCTTGGAGTAAGTACCCTAAATTAGATATACATTCAACTAGATTAGTTGGATTAAACAACATAAATATAACCATTCACTTGTAACACATCAGTTCAGTATTAGGTGCTCCTTTATGAAACTGTACGTCTTCTATTCAAAGATAGCTAACTGGACGGCCGTTTCGTCCTGTTGTAGGACTCCTTAGAAGTGTGCATCCACGATCCCGCTCGCGGGATTCGAATGCTTAACCTACTGGACCACTGAGCCGGCATCATACGGTGTTAGCTAACTTTCGTTTGGAACTAATACCATCTGAGGAAATAACTAGTCAATATACCACATTTAAAATCGGGTAATATCCTATATGTGTAAAAAAATTCAATATCATTACTCTCATATACCTGGTAATGTAAATGATCTTTGAGAATAATCATTAATACTAGCCAAACTATCCTGTGAACCTTGTTTAGAAGTTGGACGAACTAAAAATCCAAGCGTTGGATCAGGATAGTTTGATATCTGAAATGAAATACACAGAATATATCAATGAATGTTAAAACAATTCGATTACATTTCTATAATTCAACAATTACTCGAATAATTTCATCAAGCGATGTTTGATGAAACTCAAAAGTTTTAGTAACTAAATACTCGTTGAAGAGGAACATAATAAAATAGTGCACTGGAACATGGTTTTCTAGACCATACCATCCAACTAAAGCATTACAGGGATGTAAGTAAATTATTGTAAGCATAACTAGGGAGAATAAACAAACTGGAAAATAGCCAAATGGATTCAAAATTATTGTTATCGGCTTATCGAAACGTTGGAGAACAATCAATTGATGCAAACAAATTTCCAGTTTAATTGTTACAAACCAGCCAATTGATGGAAGGTGTGATATTTTTATAAGTTGGCTGTTACTAGATGCAACAAAAGAAAGACCGAAGAAATGATAACTCCTAAAACTAGTTTTCTCGGACTTTTTTGATTGAGATCATGAACCAATTGATGTTAGACCACCACTGAAAACTTGGAAGCACTGGTAGGCCGTTTCGTCTTGTTGTGGGACTCCTTAGCGGTGCGCATCCCCAATCCTGCTCGCGTAACTCGAACCCAGGGCCTTCAGTCTCGCGTGCGAACGCTTAACCTATTGGACCACTGAGACGGCACCCAATGGTGTTAATGTCTAACCTCAATGGTGGTCTAACGTCAATCGGTTCATGATCTCAACCAAAAACTTAACAATCTCCACAACCCCTAAACCGATACTACATAATTGTTAAATAACTGAACATTCTTTTCCTAACTGACTATACTCACCTGATAATCCATCGATCAAGTTTATTAACTATTATTTAAGAAATAGATAGCCTTTAACCGCTCCACCCTAAGGATTCAACACTGAAGACTCTCAGGTAGCTGTTTGCTGTGCTCGTAGTGGAAATCGATGACAAGACAGAAAAACTAATTAAGATTATCAACATCAAGCTGTCGATGAAACATAGGATAAACATTCAAGAGCTTCTTAAAAGCTAAAATCACAAGTCGATTCAAGCTTGACTACCATTAAAAACTTGGAAGTAATAAACGGCCATCTCATCCTAGCATAGAACTCCTTAACGATGTGCATCTACGATCCCGGACGCTAGACTTCAACCCAAGACTTTCGGCTCCACTCGAACGCTTAACCTCCTGTACCAGGAAGAAACGGCTGTTCATTGTTTCCTGGTCTTCAATTGTAGTCTAACTTAGACCGATTCGTGACTTCGATCGTGAAAATGCTTCAACCTCCACAAATCCGCATACCTATAAAATTCTTAAACATTGAAAACTACTTAGATAACATATTGAAGAAGACGATTCTGTTTAAATCAATCAAGCGTTTCAAAAAAGGTTGCTAAAACTTCAAAACTCATGACGGCGAGAAAGCTGAAGAGCTTAAAATAGAGTTTCCTGTTGACTACCTACGACCAATTAAGATCTCGATATAGTGCACATGATGTCCAGTCACTTAGACTAGTGAATCAATTGAAACTTACTTGACAGAATTCGATCAGTATTAAAAAGTACTTGACTGACATTATTCATTATTCAGTGATCAGTTAATTATAAACATCTGATAAGATGGCAAATATGTGATACATTAAAATTAAAGCAAAAACTCAGGATGAACTGAGTTACTGATTCATCATAATCTATGAGTTGCAAGCAGCCACAACCCCAACAACGGTTGATCTACAAGTTGTTCGCCGAGCGGTCAACGTTTAGACCGACCACCTGGCATTCAATAATTTGTATATCAAAATTCAGTCGGCTGATTAAAAGGTTAAGCACTTGCCACGAGATTTGGAGATCCCAAATTCGATTTCCTGTATCACTGTAGATGAATACCCCAAAAATCCGCCGCAGTAATAAAAATATTAAAGAATTGAATGAGTTAACGACTCATGGTAAAAGATGAAACGGCTAAAAATTGCAAACATTAAATTTATTACAAATATTAGAAAAAATGTTTACTCTATATCTGATTACCTTTTTCACAGTAACTTCAGGTGAAACTGATCTGCCACAACGACTATTAACCATTAAACTATAACTGCTTCCACCACCTATTCCGGTGCTTGTTGCAAGACTTAATGCACTGCCACGAAAACCATTTATCAACGATGTACCACTGGTTGTACCTAATCCATAATTAATCTCTTTGAAATTTAATCCAAATGGATGACCACTAGAATGGCCATGAAAACGACCAGTTGTCCATTCCATTGATGTAGATCTTTGATTTGTTAATGTTGATCCTTTTGGTAATAAACTTGGAGAGAATGGTGAAATTGTTGAATTGATCATTAAACTATTTTTTGATGATTGTGGTATCATCGGACTGTTTGTTGCACCGGAACTAAGACCAATACCAGAGGTACTTTCAATAGACGATACAGAATCAAGCATACTGTATGTGTAGATTGTGAAAAATATACATATATAAATCATATTACTGTTGGAAAGTATCAAAGGAAAATGTAATTGACCAAAGTAAACTATACCAACTAACCACTCAGATTTAAGTCAACGATTAAGGGACTTTTTGTTTGGAATTCAAAACGCATTGTTCAAAGTTTATGCGTTATTGTGAGTTGTGTAAGAACCAGACAAAACCTATCAAGATTTAGTTAGTCTGACACTCAAAATAGGTAAACATTATGAGATTGGATAATAAACTGAGCATTGGTGATTCTTAAAATAACGAAAAATACTAGGTTTGAAGAGATTACGAGTTCACCTAAACCTGTAATACAATGAATAAATAAGCTGGCTATTCCGATGCGCGCCAGCCTCGCTAACTAGAGAGAGACAGAGAGAAGTCCCGTTTCGAAGAGGGGAATGTATCCTACATGCAGCCAGAACCACGACCAACAACCACAAGCACAATCCAAGCGTATATATGCAGCATAAAAATGTCCTTGGGAAACGTTACAAAATAGCATATTGAAAGGAATAACGAACCAATGACATTTAAAGCCTTGACAAATGGGACGCGATTGGCGCGAAAACGAGAAATCCAAATGTCCAAAGTAAAATTACAAAAATAAGACATTTACCAAATCAGTTCTGGGTAGCTAACATCCCCCACAGTATGATAATGATTAATCATTTCATGGGAAAGTAATAGGAAACAGGTTTTCTTTGAAAAATGAAACAAACACTTGTAGATTTTTTAGGCGAGACTAATTTAGGGACGACCTTTGAACAAATCTTAAATGACCTTGACAATTATTAGCCAATCAGAAGACAGTTAGTATAAAGTAAAAATATATTATAAGAAAGTAATGAATTACAGGGGATATTCTTCTTTCACATGATTTAGAAACTTGTTGAGGTTTGATAGAGGTTCAGAAGTTCTGAATTCATAATGCATACGGTATAGAGACTCGTCCACAGGGTTAGGGTTGGGGGTTAGGGTTAGGGTGGCGAGATTCTAATTTAGGGACGAGCCAAAAAGAAGTGTTTGAGCAATTTCAAGGTCACGGAGCCTAGTTCAACACGTGATGCTAACATACGATCGGTTTACAGTGGATTTTAGAGCAGAGGTGTTTATTGAGAGGATACTACCCTAACCCTAACCCTAACCCCTAACCCTCAACCCTAACCCCCAACCTTAACCCCTGACCCTAAACCCTAACCCCTAACCCTAACCCCCAACCCTAACCCTATGGACGAGTTTCTATACCGTATGCATTATGAATTCAGAACCTCTGAACCTTTATCAAACCCTAACAAGTTTTTAAATCATGTAAAAGAAGAATATCCACTGTAATTCATTACTTTCTTATAATATATTTTTACTTTATACTAACTGTCTTCTGATTGGCTAATAATTGAAATTGCTCAAACGCTTCTGATTGGCTCGTCCATAAATTAGAGTCTCGCCATTTTTTAAAAGGACATAAGATATTTTAAGATTTGAATCCGAAGAATGACTTCGATAAATACTCATCATTATGAATATGAATTATCCACCCACTGTGACTCCAACTGTAACTTATAACAATAGTGCAGTGAACAGAACACGGGTGAGGACAATCGATTACACTCAACACACAACTGCAGGACTTGTTCATAAAATCTAACAATCATAAAGTAAATGCTTAATTTGCAAAAGGTCCATCGACTGTCTCAAAATGACTCAGACTTCGTTGTTCTTGCATTTTCATACAAATTGCATCCTGTTTCTATTCTTTACAGTTCGATCCTCTTATCTATCTGCTGCCAGACCTATTCACGACTAACATCATATACTAATTATGTCAATATAAGTAGCACACACCACAATAATACCGAACCCTGATTATCAACCTTTATTCTTAAGCCTTACAATAATAAATAATTCATTATGTAGTGGTTCATAATATATCGTTTCAAAAACTGATCGTCAAACAAATAACCAACAATAAGAATCAATAAATCAATAGTTCTACTCTACATGAAAAATATTTCCAAGATCACTAACCGATTATTAAAGACTATAAGAATGAGTGTAGCTGACAAACCATGAAAATCTTTACAAATAATATTATCCAGGTCAGACAACAGAACGACAAACTGTTATCTACAAAATTAATTGAAGTAATCACGAAGAGTATTACATAGGACAAAGCGACCGCTCACTCCGTCTACGTTTACATGAATATCACTGGATTGAAACTTGTAATTAATTAATCAATCTATAATTGAATGTGATCGACATCCAATGTCATGTGTGATACATGAAAGAATTATGTTTAATGCTACGTGAAGTTACGGTTGTGAACCGCTGTAGAATCTCAAACAATAACAAGATTTACCAGTAGAATTCATCAGTCAATTAAATCTAGACCATCATGGAAAACCTAGGAGCACTGGACGGCCGTTTCACCCTAGTATAGGACCCATTAGCAGCGTACATCCACGATCCCGCGTCGCGACATTTGATCCCAGGACCTATCGGTCTCACGTAAGAACGCTTAGTCTCTAGACCAATGAGCCGGCAGTGACGGTCTCCGTGAGATATTTCCTACCGGGTCTGTTGTGAGATAGTAACTCACTGAAGACAATAGTGATCAGTGCAGCGATTTCGTGGGTTAGTTGAAGTTAGACATCAACATCGTTGGATTCCGGTTCAGTGGTATAGAGGTTAAGCGCTCGCACTCGAGACTGATAGGTCCTGAGTTGGAATCTCACGAGGCGGGATCGTGGATGCACCCTGCTGAGGGGTACCACAGTAGGAAGAAACGGCCATCCAATGATTCCAGGTTTTCCATGGTAGTGTAGCTGTAGTAGATTAATTTATTCAACTAATAAGAAATTCGTATTTTGATGAACATACCGACGTTTCAAATTCGGTAATCTTTCATGTTCACCAGACCATTTTTCCATAGATTTTAAAATTTCATTCAAAACGTCTTCAGGTTTAATGTCTTCACTATTAGCCTGAGAAAAAATATATAGAAAATTGAAAATTAATAGTTGGAAAAGTGAAGCATGTCATTTACATTAAGAAATCCTATAATTCTTAAATCATAAACTGATCTTCATTAAACTATCATTGGAAACTTAGGAGCACTGGAAAGCCGTTTCATCATGGTATGGGATTTTAATTACAGCGCATCGACAATTTAGCGTCTGCAGAAACGTTTAACATTCAGACTACTGTGCTGGCATCCAGTGATATCAGTGTAAAATTTTAATCAATTCATGACACTGAGTTACCAAATTTCTTTACCTTCGATTAACAGTTGTCCCACACCTGACGTGATTGAATTCCACAAGTCATAGTTTCTTATTAAAACTCTTGAAGCAAATCACTAGCGAACATATAATCGTTACACAACATCGTAAATTGATTGTGGTTAAACACTAATATCACTGGATGCCAGCTCAGTGGTTTAGAGGTTAAGTGTTCTCACGCAAGACTAAAAATCTTGGGTTCATTTCCTGGTGAGGGGTCTCTAATAGTCACTAACGAGGAGTCTGATGTTAAGACGGAACAGCTGTCTCGTGCTTTCAGGTTTCCAGTGGCAATCTAAATATGATCAGTTTGTGGTTTAAAAACATTGAAAATTCTATGATCTCCATAAAACCCTATACTAGAAAAAATATTTTGAGACTTTTGAAATTGCGTGTTATTATCCTGACCTTCTTCCACTTACACAAAGAAAATAATCTAAACAGCTTCTGCCAATGTATATCGAAGGTATGCAGTTTCAATTCAACTATGTAATGTATCAACAAATCAATGAAGTCATCACATGAGCACGACTGTAAATGGTATATTTATGAGAAACCTTCAGAAAACTAAGTAAAAACATCCAATTGACGAAACAATATTCTACCACAGATATAATGATGATGCGTTCATTCCCGGTAACAGTTTTAAAAAACTGAACTTAATCTGTTCAGTAATGAGCATAATGAGATAAGAGTTATTATGCAACATGAAGATAAACGAAAATTCTACTTCTTACATACTGAAATTTAACAAACTTTAGAAGAGAACTTATGGAAAGATAATATCCACCACTAAAGTACATAGGATAGAGTTCATCTAAACTATTTTAAGCTGTATGAGATAAGATGGTGGTTGTACGTAGTCAATAGGAAACCGTGGACCTAGGTTTAGTGCTAGTTGACACTCATCAGCAAGATGTACTTGTAGTCTTGAGGGAACTGATGCTCAATGAAAGATTCGATCCCATATCACCCAGCTTCACAGTCAGAAACATTACCACCGAGCTTTACGGACCACGATCGACCTCTTATAGGACTGAGATGTATTTACAATTGATTGGTCACTGGGTGATGATAGATGTCAGGGAGCATCTATCCCTCAACATTACAGAGGCACCTTGCTGACGAGTGTCAAGTAGCACGAAACCTAGGTTCAGGGTTCCATGTTCACTACCTCCAACCACCATCTTATCTCAACATAGTGCAAACAATATGGAATCACGTAGGCTAGTGGCCACATTCCAACTTGGTTGATAAGATTCAATTTACACTAAAAACGATCTGACATACACGACATTCATCACTACCCAGTGATCAATCAACTGTAAATACTTTAAACTGTCTTATTATTATTATATAATATAAAGCTTACTTTACACTTGATTTGTGTACTCCATTGATCAATCATAACACGGGCTTCTTCTGCTTGGTAAATTAATTGATTTCTTTCATCTTGCATATTTTATATTCTTTTTCTGCAGCCTCTTCTAATTCAAAATGACGATGTCTAAATAATTCCACTTGTTGTCTATAACATTCCATCTATAAAGAGTAATAATAAAACAAAGTATACCATTGAAATATTAATATGTCCTAGGCATAATAGTTGTTAAAATGATTGATAATAGATGAAGTGGTGTTATTCTTTTGAAGGTGACAAGTCTCCTTTTTATCATAAACTGACGTTATTTAAGGAAACCATTGAACATATTAACATTTTCTTTAACCACGTAACACGTATGGTTAATCACATCCTACCTCATCAAGCGATATTCAATAGCATAGAAGCAGGTTGAGAGAAACTTAAAGGAGGCCGAAACAACACATGGCATCAGTACATGATGAAAATGATTGTTGATCTGAGTCATGTTGGTGGATTCAGACTACCTGTCTGGTGTCAGTATGATGACCAAGATCAATAAATAAATATATTGGGTGAAATAGCTTCGTGTCGTTTGAAATAGGAAAGATGAATTTGTTCTACACCTACCTTTAGATCATAAGACGCATTCTTACTTCATACATACCTCTTATTTCTGTATTTTGGAGGCATATTCCTTATGTTTTAGTCTTTCTCACTATCATCACTAACATGTAATTTCGATTTCCTTACCATTAAACTTGTTAACATTATCTTATCATACTTATCAAAACATCTCGAATAGGACAGCGCATATTAATGTCAGGACTTGTATTGATCATAACTAATTGACTCACTGATTGATCCAGATCCTCTAAAGAACAAAATTAACAGTATCCAATCATAACTAATTCAGTTATCTGATGTTGTTAACATGCTCTCTCCATATTGTTATTTTTTTGTTATATTTGTAGTGACTCACATTTATCACGAGAACACGACTGGTTTAATAAAAACAATTATTATTATAACCAACTGTACCAGTATTTGTTTTAACGTGCTTTTGTTTGACTGTGCTAATGACAGCTATTTTGTGCTTCCATTCTTTTACTTACACTTTTGGTTGTGACTTCGCGCGAATTCGGTTACGTTCTGTAATCAAGCTTGTATCCTGGCACGATCTCGGTATCCTTTCGATGCCACGAGATCGCCAGCAAATATAACTCGACTTGGTCCATTAACTGCCTTCTGATATGTGGCTTCTCGGGGATTTTATGGATCTATTTGGTTACGTCCAACCTTCGCCTTCTGATTTATTTGGCACGTGTTTCTTTGTAGCGGTGTTCATAGTTAATCCCAACACGACACCACGCTACATATTCTCTTAGCTAAACAGTTTACTTGTGGAAGTTTCATATTCCTTCTAGACAATATCATTATTATCAGATCGGGTTTTGTGGAGATTTTAGAAATTTCACTGGTTGAAATCATGAGTCGATTGAAGCTAGACCACCAGGGAAAACCTGGAAGCACTGGACGGAACTCACTGAAAACAATGGTATACAGTGGCGCAACTTCGTGATTGGTTGAAGTTAGAAATTAACACCGTTGGATGCTTGCTCAGTGGTGTGGTTGGTTAAGCGCCTGGCGCGAGACTGATAGGCCCTGGGTTCGGATCTCGCGGGGGCGGGATCGTGGGTGCGCACTGCTGAGGAGTCCCATACTAGGATGAAACGGCCATCCAATGCTTCCAGGTTTATCATTAGTGGTCTAGCTTCAATTAACTCATGATTTCAACCAGTGAAATATCATTATTAAGATATAAAATATTTTATACTTACCGTTAATAAACGATCTTTAATATCTTCTAATTCTCTTTCCATTGCTAATCTTGCTTCTTCAGCTTCTCGTACAGCTGTAATATTTTGTGTTGCATGTAGTTCTTTCATTTCAATTAATTCATTACGTAATTTATTGATTATTCTTTCAGCATTTTGTAATTTTAATATAATCTCTTGATTTTCTAATTGTGCTGTACGAGCTTGTGAAGTTAATAAACTTGGACGTATACTACTACTGCTACTACTAGAACTAGCACTGAAACGTTGCAACACTTTAGGCAACTTTTGTGTATCTTCTAATTGAGCTAATTTTAACTGAACAATGATAACAACAACATCAAAGATACATTCGTTCATTATTGAAATAAACAGGAAACATTTAAACATTTATAAGCAAAGATGGATAGTGGCTAGCAGTGGAATCCAGGACGCGCGTTTCGTCCTGTTTGGACTCGTCAGCTGGATGTACCTGCATCTCAGAGTTGATGTTCACTCTGGGCACTCTGGGCATCAACTCTGAGATGCAGGTAAATCCAGCTGACAAGTCCCAAACAGGACGAAACGCGCGTCCTGGATTCCACTGCTAGCCATTATCCATCTTTGCTTATAATGCTTGTAAATTAAGGCAATATCGAGGCATACGCACAGTATGCACATATGCCAATAAGAGACTGATCAATTTCAGTCCTAAAACATCAATGGGAAGATTCAAGTAAAACAATATCAAGTGAATTTAAACATTTACACTACTTCGAGTTAAGTTGAATGTATAATAACAAACCAATCTCAAACCAAGAAAATAAGTGACATTCGTTAGGGAATTCGTAAATGTAATGATGGTGAATAAGTTTAGTGGAATATATTTCTATGTAATGTTTGTTAAGGTTAAAATTAAGGACAAGATTGAGCTAGAATTAACGCTTAAGATTAGAAGTAAGGTTTGGAGTTAGATTTAAGAATAAGGTTAGAAGTGACGTTTAAGGTTGGGATTATATGTTTTGGTGTAACATAACCCAACCATAAATTTTAAGTCTGAATTTCAACTCGAAAGTTAAATTATAGCGATTTAAAACCTTTAATTAACCTAGACTGGTAGGTCTTGGGTTAGAATCCCGTGAGCGGGATCGTGGATGCTCACTACTAATGAGTTTCATACTAGGATAGAACGACTGTTCAATACTCCCAAGTTTACTATGACGGTCTAGGTTTAGTTGACTCATGTATCGGTCCAAGTTGCCACACCTCATTAGCACAAAAAGACGAACACCAATTCATAGAAATAGTCACTTCGATGGTAGTAATATATAAAAGAAAGATTTCATATAAGAATATGATACAAAGAAAAGGAATTAGTTCGTAGGGAGAAAGATATGAAGCTATTTTAATCTCATAGTTTAAAGGAAGACATAGAGTATATACACCTACACCATTGAGATCGATTCTAAGCCATATCACATAGAGTCTCTAATCATTGGTTACGATAGTCACGTGCACCCTAAGCAAGTAGTGTGCATTTACCAACATGGCTCAGACTAGAAGTTAGTGACTTCATGCACTGATGTCACGTTTTGGTTTGGCCGCCCCTAACTTTCTTCCAACCATTCCCAACACTAGTCAGCATTGCGCGTCGTGGTAATCCATGTTCAGTCAATGAAGATTCACAACATATATATTCACTACTTCTATTTTCCCACTTATATAGCTAAGGTAATCTGAAACGTTTTCAATATTCAGTAAGTAAATTGAATCCCTCACTTTCAATCATTTTCCTATTTATCTAATGACTGATTTCTACATATTGGAATGTTATTTTCATTATATAACTTATTTTTAATCTCTGAATCTCATTTTGTATTTTATACCCCGAATTTTGTCCAGCTTTACTTTGATATGTTCATAGTAGATAGTTATGAACAAGCTCAGACATATGAAATGTAATCTTCATTTAAACTATGTCTTCAATACTCAGTAGTCCTCTAACAAATTAACGGAAAAAAATGGTCGGAAGTGATAAATACATTATGTACAATAAAAACACTGAAAATGTTGCTGATAATCTCAGTCATATGTCGTAATTATGTAACGTTGATTACCATGCTGGCTGGAACAACCGTTCCTCAGGGTCCTACCATGTCAGACAGGTCGGTTGAAGAACGGTAAGACTAAAAGAAATAAACCTAAGGTCCTAAAGCGAAGTCGTACTGCTGACTTTGCAGAGGTGTAACAGTAGTAAGGTGTTTCCTTCAGACAACCAGCATGACAGCGACACTGCCTTCCCACAAGGAGGGTTGGGGTTGGAAGAGGTGGACCCTAAAAATGCACACCTCGCCTTATCCCACGGATATCCATCTCCGGCGGTAAGGTCTCAACAAGTACGAAGCTAACACAAAAATTACTCATAAAAAGGTCGTGTGTGACTGACCTCAAGCAGTTGTCCCTTGGGCACTGCGGTCACGCTCTCAGGTCACTGAGACCACCTCTAATCCAATTTCATTTTCAGGTACCTCCAGAAGAACCCTTCCACGGTGTGGGCAACCGGGAGGTGATAACCACCCTCATACCTCTAACCAGCACTCAAGACCACTGTATTCATAATCAACCTCCCTCTTCAATTCTTATTATTCCTCCTACATCGGCTTTCACCTCCAAACTTCCTCTTTCGGCTTCCCCCTCAAGTGTCACCACAGCCAACGACTTTAGTGCGCAAAACACTGTCCCAGGTCTACTGAAACCTCGCTCCAAACTACGCATTGGAGCCTTTAACGTACGCACCCTACGTTGTAGCTGACTGATTGATTGAGTCAAGAGCCAATGATGTATAAGCTCAACTACAATCAATCCTCTATCAAGTACTTTCAGATTTTCAATGGTTGTTTAAGTTAGGTAAGTTGGTGATCTTAATAAAATTCAACTATATCCACAATCTTTCATTGATTCTATACCTACCTCAATGGCTTGTTTCTCTTTTTCTAACTTTTCATATGCAGTTTGTAAATTCATTAATTTCTTTTCACTTTCCTTCTCTAAATCAAACAATTTCACACTTGTATCTTGAAGTAATTTTCGTGTATTCATAATTGTTGTTCGACGATCTTCTTGCTATAAATATATACATAAAAGAAAACGTTACAATATAGATGAAAACAAAATGAAAAAGCATCCTGACGACATATTACATGTCGGTGATTACGTTTCATCTCACCGTCACACGGTAGGTAAGAGGATGTAAACAGAATAGGTTATTGTCTGTATCGATTTGATCAACAGGTATATATATCTGCTTATGATTTGTGCACATAACGATGTCGTCTTGATAATTGTACCTTCCTATTTATTTAACTTCCTCATTCCGAATAATGAAAGTATATAATGTAACTGAACCGAACAGCAGAGCATCAAGGAAATGTACATCGTTGAAGAGATAATATTTACATATGAAAACAGTGGTTTAACGTTACTTGGTATTTAGTTACTCTTCAAATGACTCTAAACTGTAATGAAGGTTAACCTGAAAGTACCTATCATAATAGCCTTCATATTCTAATTCGTAAATAGCCTCTAAAAGATTTGTTTAAGCTTGAATAAGTTGTAACCGATACGGAATATCAAATGTATTAAGATTGAAATATTTATCGGTAGTAAGGTCGATTGCAAGTCATGTAGTGTCGTAAACTGGAAATATAAACCACTGGTTTACAACATAGTGATCTAAATGTTTTACACTCCCTGAATAACTAAAGTGCCTTGACTTTGGTTTTGCATAGTCAACCAGTTCAATAATGTTGATTAGCATATATTTAAGTCCACTCAGATGTCTAGTGATCCTTTGTTTAAACAATCTTGTCGAAAAGTTATTAGTTCATAATGAAAACAACTGTACGTTAATCTTCAAATTCAACCCAGGAAATCAATAATGAGACAATACAAACCATTCGAAACATCTTCATACATATTGAATGAACTAGTGAATCTTCGGAGACTCACGATATTAACACATAATACACTAAGATTCAAGAGATAGATACTGAGTTTGAGTGTTGAATGTAGGTACATCCATCAATGAATTGAGTTTTACTGTCGTTTACTGGTTAAGTCATTTGAATTCTAACTAAGTAGGTTTTAATTATGAGTCACCACTATCCGTAATTCGATTTAGCGAGCCAGATAGTTTTACTAGCCTTTAGGCAAATAATGTGACTCAAAGCTAAGCATATTAACGTGTACAGTATAAGGTGGTAGTTGCACGTAGTCTAGATAAAACCCTATTTGACCTATATTTCATGTTATTTGATACTTGTCAGCAAAGCGTACATGTAATTTTGAGGTAAATAAATCGACTTGGTGGAGGTCAATCACGACCTTAATAGCTGTGCGGTAAAATCTGTGACCGTGGATCTGGTTAACAGAATCAAATTCACCGGTGCGCATCAGTTCCCTTAATATTAAAGGGATACTTTGCTGACAATTACCAAACAACCCAAAGCCTAGATCAATGATTTCCCGTAGAATAAATTCTACCACCTAACATCTCAACATAGTCTGTGAGTAGTCGAGTTACTGAGAATGAAGGCCACATTGAGATCTGATCGACAGAATTTGATCAGCGCCGAAACAGACAACACGTACATGACATAGGTTACTACTTAATGGTCAAACAATTGTAAAAACTTGCACAGTTGATATGTTAAGATACTACTTTTTTATTATTCACTTATAAAATATGTGTAGTATCGGTTATTATGTTAAGTCCATATACCTTATTCTAGCTTTCGGACAGGTCAATCTATTATTATTATTAATTATTCGCTTATCAATCTTGACTGTTTTTATATGAGCGCAGATAGGTGTGCCCTTCTTATGCTATTCATCACATGTTTGTAGCTTATTTTTGTGACTATGATTATTGAATAACCGTTGGTTAAATGGAATTGGCTCACATGCCTTCTCTACTGCGCGCCATTTCCCTTCGCTCTCTTCTCTTTGCGTCATTCCTCGATTACCTGTTCAAGTCAATCAGTGCATGAAATATACACATTCAAAATCCATTCTCGTATTTAGCTTATTTAATTCCGTTATTCACTAACGCTATTTAAGTCGATGGTAATAGACGAGGATTTACAATATTATATATCTCAACAGCAATCAGAAACGATCTCACCGGAGTCACAACCCATACCACTAAACTGGTGAGCACATCAACAACATCGTACGGTCTAATTGACTTCAAAATGAAGGTTTTTAATGATAACATTTACTTACCTCTTTCGCTTTTGATTCTAGTACAAGTCTTTCTGTAATCCACGCTTCTTGTTCACCTTCATATTGTTCTTTAATACTACGATAACGTCGTTGATAATCAATAACGTTATTATGCAATGATTCATTTTGTATTTTTAATTCAATATTAGTACGATTCAATATATTAATATGTTCATTAAGTAAAGTGATTTTTGTATTAGGCTGTTGAGCTGCGATTGCTTTTGCATATGTATTACCCATATTGAAATTCGTAAGATAACCAGTTATATCCTTTAAAAAAAACCCAGTTAAGTTAACAATCATTGTATGTTAATAAGGAGTTTAGACAGTGAAATGCGAATCATTATACAAATTGATTCATGGATTGGTTAAAGTTAGACATTAACACCGTCGGATACCGACTCGGTGATCTAGAGGGTTAAGCGTTCACACGCGAAACCAGAGGTCCTGGATTCAAGTCCTGCATGTGGAGTCGTGGATGCGCACTGTTGAAGAGTCCCATACTAGGACGAAACGACCATCTAGCGCTTCTAGGTTTTCCATTTTTGAATACATTACATAATATCCTGGTAAAATCTGAGAACCATATAGTAAATACTTCATTTGTAAAATGTCAATCGATCATCCCAGACTTCATTGTTCTATCGCTTCCACACTAATCATTTTATGTTCTCGTTCTCCTTTCTTTGATCTTCTTATTCTTTTGCCGCCAGATATTTCACTTTCGATTGAAAATACATACTACTTATATCCGTCGACACCAGTAACACACACTGCAGTATGAGTGAAGAGCTTAGATTTAATGACTTTCAATAATAATGTAATATACTTACTTAATCTGTATTAAAATACTCTCGTTCAATATCATACTTGAAGTATACTAAAATGAGAGATATACTGGTGTTATATATTACAACATCACCCCCCCCTTTTAAGCAAGGAGATGTTTACTATTTGTTAATATTCCATTCTGACTTTAAAGTACTATTATCTAAGCTCATACGTGGATACTATATATATGTTAATAAGAGACTGTCTAGGTGATCGACATACTTGGATACTGAACAGTACATAATACAGAGGCTAGAGATCATATTATCAGATATACAATTTACGACCGAGATAGAGGATCAGAGAAACGCTAGACAATATGTTATTACAAGCATTACCCTAAGTGAATCCAAAGCACAGATCAATAGGAGGAAGGTAAATCACATATTTAATAGTCAGTAAGTTGAGTGCCTGTTTTTTCCACACTCAATGATCAGTACATTTTACTGTTACTACCACAAATCACAATTAATGAGTTCTTTGGATTTGAAATCGGCCTAATTGCTACATGTAAAGAATTGCCAATAATTTATTCAGACTATGATAAACTTCTTCGTACTAATCATTACTGAAAGTAACTATCGTCATATCTAAGACTTGATGTTTTGAATAATCCGTTAATTCATAGTAATCTATTCACAGATTAGTAAACAAATAACTGATGACTTCAGTGTTGATATGATGAGCCTGAAGTTAGACGAAGAGGAAAACCTGAAAGCACTAGATGGTCGTTTCGTCTTACTGTGGGATTTCTCAGTAGTATGCATCGACGATCCCGCCTCGCGAGATTCAAACCTACGACCTATGAGTCTGGAATGCGGTTAGATGATCAACTTTTTAATGATAGATTCTTTAAATACTAAACAAACAAATTAATTAGTTTGACTTATCATGTTAAAATGAAGGGATAACTTTGAACTGTAAATTATTTGGTTAGATCAATAACAGTGTCCGATACCTTATACCTTGTTAGATTTAATTCTATGAGTGAATTCCCATGAAGTTGTTAATTATTTTAAATTCATAACAAGAAAGATAGTAGCATAGTTCAAACTTTAGTTTGACGTTTGGATAAGTTCAGGAAAGATTTCTAATTAGCTCCTTATCATTTAATCACTCTCCAGGTAAAGTGTATCATTAAAACAAAATTCAGATCAGGTGAATTACAGTCTTCAATTGTGAAATGAATTTGACTTGACCGATTTGATCAGATGGGGTGATCTTCTGAAATCGGATCATTCAACAAAATAGTTTACAACAAATCTCCTATTATTTGATCGATTTCAACATTGATTAGAGGCTATCAAAGTACATAGAACAAACTATTTGTTGTATGTGGAGAAATTCAAATAGATCATTTTGATAGAGTTATGTTCTCTAAGCTAAATAGTTTGATTGGGGAGCTTTCATCGTTCGCCTGAACGACATCAACAGTACAAACTTTAGGTCGATCACTTCTATCTTAAGTTTTTATTAATGATATTATCTAGAAAAACAATGAAATATAGCGAAGCGAATGATGAAATATCAATAAATTTCATGAAAATACAAATCTAAAGAAAATGGAACTTTCACTTGGCATTATTTTGCTTGAATCTTCCCATTGAGGTTTAAGACAGCAATTGATCAGTCAGTTATTGGTATATGTACATCCTGTGCATAATGCCTTGATATCACATTAATTCACAAGCTTTTTGTAAGCAATGATGGATAGTGGCTAGCACTGGAATCCAGGACACGCATTTCGTCCTATTTGGGACTCGTCAACTGGATGTACCTGCAGCCCAGAGTTGGTGTTCACTCCCGAACTCCAACCCAATACCACTCGCTTCAAACGTCATCACGTTATCCACTCAGCTACTGAGTCCTGATAGCCACTTGCTTGTGCAATGGGGTGAATTCAAATTCACTTGGTGTTATTTTACTTGTATCTTCTCATTGAGGTTTAAGACAGAAACTGATCGGTCTTTTATTGTATATGTACATCCTGTGCATAATGCCTCGATATTGCCTTAATTCAAAAGCCTTATAAACAAAGATGGCTAGCATTAGATTCCAGTTGATGCGGGTTTCGTCCTATTTGAGATTCGTCAGCGGAACTCTGTTTTGTTATTATCATTATTATTATGAAAGAGGACGGGGGTGGGAAAGAGAAAACATAATAAATGATTACCTTTCTACTTCTTTCTTCTGATGTATGCCTTTTATCTAATTTACAACGTAATTTTTTTAATTCAATATATAAATCATCTTTTTCACGTTTAGTTAATGATAATTCTCTTCTTAATTTATCCACTTCAAATCCACGTCGATTTAACATTAATTCACGATTTGTAAGATTATTATTATTATCTGATTGACTTGAATCACGATTAGTATTATTAATACTACTATTATTATTAGTAGTAGTATTAGTAGTAGTACTCATTAAAACTGCTTCTTCCATACGTTTACGTAGATTTTTCAATTCTTGTTCTTTATTTGTAAGTCTGTTTAGTTAAAAAGAAATAACATGTAACGTTGGACAAAAATGTGATGTGTATTCAATTATTAATGAAATACCAATTGAATTACACAAATCTTAAGTATGATTTAAAGCAAAGATGAATAGTGGCTAACAGTGGAATCCGGTTTGATGCGCGTTTCGTCCTATTTGGGACTCGTCAACTGAATGTCTTTGAATTGATGTTCACTTTGTGACTCGAACCCAGTACCGTACGCCATTGCGTTATCCACTTAGCTATCTAGTCCTGATAGCCACTTGCTTTGTAATGGGGTGAAGTTTAAATTCATTTGATATTGTTTGCTTGTATCTTCCGATTGTTGTGTAGGATCGCAATTGATCAGTCTCTTATTGGTATATGTATAATCGACTTTAAGGGACAATTGTTAATGTAAAGAGTAAGAGTACCATCAGAGTTTGCAAAACGAAATAAATTAGTCAATTTATACTGAAATCCATAATTACAGTGCTGATTCATAGAAAAACAGAAAATGGCTCTCCCTTCCGATCAATTACAGTCGCTATTTCAGTGACAACAGCAGCGTTTTATAAAGAATTAGTTGCAATTTATAGAGAAATTACACACATGGCCGCTGAATCATCCATTCTTTGGAGATGTGACGGAAGTTAATGAACTAATTTCTAAATTGCTTACAGAGCTGAAAAATGATTGCAGAATGTATGAATGTGTCGATAAAAGCTTCTATCAATCCTTGACAAGCAGTAATATAAGCGAAGCATTAGCAGTCATTCATGATCCGCTCAGCGGTTCATAAACGTCCATTTCAGAGACATGCCCTGTAACAAGTTCAAATCTCATTGTCCTGAAACACAATATACAAACACTGACTTGTTCAGCTCACAGAAAGACGATGTCTTATTAAATGCTCATGAAATTATTTCAGGACCCGCCTACGAAGAAACAGAAAATGAATCAAGTAGCATAATGCAGATGTTTAAAGGAGCTCATCATTCTACGACAAAATTATATGATGAATCTACTTATCGGGGTTCTTTAGTTGTTTTGCCAAATATGAGTTATTTTAATAACTTATATGCTTTTGATTGAATTTCTTACAAAAGTGAGAAAAATTTGTCGGATGTATTGAATGACAGTCAAGAACCTGATGAAATTTTGATAGATGCTGATTATTCTATTGATCCATTATCTACTAATGAGATTTTCAAGAAATTCGGTGAAAATGTCTCGGAAAAATCAAACCTTAATGACCTCATATCAAGTGTCGTTGATCCTCACCATCTAGTCAGTTCTCGTGAACTCTCTATTCAATTCGGGAAATATGTTTTAAATAGAGTCACATTAACTGTAACTTGGGAATATGAGGACCCAACATTATTTCGTGGGGGGGGATTAATTTAAAAAAAATTAGAGTCAGGATCTAAACTTTGAGACTTTCAAAAGAAAATGAAGGAAAGGTGATATGACAGGAAGATATAAAAAGTAGCATTAAAATAGTCAAGACAATCAGCATTCAACTGATAAGTTATAACATGAACATTACCTGTCTTTTAATTCTTCATATCGTTTCTCAACATCTATTCGTTTCGATTCAGCATTTTCACATTGTAATTTGATATTTTCTGTATTTTGCCTAGATTCTTTCAAATATGCATGTAATTCAGTTAACATTTTATCTTTTTCAGTAATGGCAGTACGTAATTGAAGTACTTCATTGCCAAGATGTTTCATAGTATCTTCATTCTGATCAACGATTCTTTTAAGTTCATCACGATTCACTTTAGTATCTTTATAAAATGTTAAGAGAGGAATATTTATATACATTAATTATCAGTGAGTAAAATAAAAGACTTTGTTAATACCCTAAGTGCATATGAAATATTAACTTTATAGACAGTATATCAATGCACATCTTACACATAGCTGTCCATTCTTTATTATAGAGTCTGATTGACACTTGACACAAATTAGTCTATTTCTTACAAACTGTCTTGTAAGCCATTTATTGGTAGATAATTGGATCCTATGTATGTAAATTGACAGATCAGTTTAAGATTACTACTATTGTATGAATTGTCCAATTCGTAGTTAAAATAGTCATAGGATGAACTCAGCTAGACAATCATTGATAACTATTGGGCACTGATCACAGGCCTCACCGAGGATAGAACTCAAGTCCATCAGGTCATGCAGTTGGTACTTAGTCTTAAGATCACTAGAATTGGCGACTATTGGTAACTAATGATTCTAAATTAGGTAGGCCTTCAAAATCGTCAAACCATTATTCATTGTCAATAGCGACATATGTACCACACTAAATATAGTGGCAGTACTGAATGCTCTTTATTTAATTTCCACTATATTGAAGTGCTATGAAGTGCTGTACATGAATATAAAATCAACCGACCGAATACTAAGAGAATCTTGAAACCTGTCGTCATACAGTAAAATTTTATACACCAGATAGCTCAACATACCATTTAGCCGATAGGTTCAAACTACTGATTAGTATAAAAGTAGTATCAAATGCATGCAGACATTCTTATTGTGGTACCAATATTTTCCAAATTGACATTTTAGAATGGTGATTTCAGATACTAAACTGTAGAACAAAACAGTAAAGCTTATTTCTTATCAAAAAATCACTTTATCATGTTGGTTTTAGCTTACACAGTGCAAATCACGAGATTATCTTATGTAGAGCACCACTGAAAGCCTGGAATTACTGGGGAGAAGTTTTCATCCGAAACAGTCATGACCATTCGTGAACGTGCAGGTGGGAATCAAACCTACAACTATTGGTTTAACGGGCATACATCTAAATTTAGTCAAAGACAAGGGAAACAGACCATCCTTTTAGATATTCAGTAATGATGAAAATTACTATAACTGAATTATAAACGTTTATTAACAGAAGATCTGTCATTTTAAGAAAGAAATTTTCATACCTTTCAACTCTTGTGCAGTAGTATTCAACTCAGCACGTAGCCTTTCAATTTCTGCAATTTTAGTACTCAAACGACAAGATGCTCCACTGATTTCTGCAGCTTTGGCTTGAGCTAAATCACGTTTTGTTTGTTCCAACTATTTAATAGACATGAAAAAGAACATTCAAAGTATGACCACTTCAGTTGAAAAATATATTTCTGTTCATGATGAAAGTTTGTGGTAATATGAGGGAAATGAGAGGAAATGTGAAAGTTGCAGAAGCTATTCTTTGAAGGTTAAGTAGATTTATTCATAATGAATGTTTATTGAACACTTGGTTTCTGTATTGTTAACCGTTCATAGTTTGAAGTACATCAGCTAAAAAATTGCCGTCTTGTATTCGTCTTATGTAACCATGTGAGGTTTTCAAGCCTGTTTACTACAGACTAATATCGGAAAGAGTATAAAGATTGAGTATACGGTTATTATTGTAGGGAACTCAGTGTTCGTGAGTATATGGCAAGATTATAGCAGCTAAAGGGTACATGTTGTGATTTCTAAGGTGGTATATGTATGTACATCGATCTGAAGACATTCCAAACAGGACGAAACGCGCATCCAACCGGATTTTACTCCTAGCCACTATCCATATTTGCTTAAAAACTATTAGATAGTTCTAAAATATTCATTTCACTATCTAGTGTTTAATAATTTGATGTCACTGTATTCCACTGAGACGCAAACCCGTTATTCAGAACTCCAAGTTTCTTATCAATTGGTTAGTAAATTAAATATGTTGCACATTATTACTTGTCAGGGTTTTCATTTCATGATTTTCGATAATGAAGACTGGAACGAATGATATGTATTGACTTTCAAACTACTTGGGCGGATAGATGCTTAGTTCCCAATAGTAACATCTAAACTGACATGTAAGTACGTCTAGCTGGAAAGTTATCAACAGAATAAAAAAAATTCTGAGTTTTTTTTATTGAGATCATGAATCGATTGATGTTAGACCACCATTTAAGACCTAGAAGCACTGGACGGCCGTTTCATCCTACTATGGAACTCCTCAGTAGTGTGCATACATGATCTCGCACTCGGGATTCGAACCTAGGGCCTTCAGTCTCGCTCTCAAAGGCTTAACCTCTAGATCACTGGGTCCATGTCAGGTAGAGCCAGGTAACTACCTCGGTGCAGTGGAACATGGTCGCTCAATTTCGTGGATTGGTTAAGGTTAGACATTAACACCGTACGATGCCGGCTCAGTGGTCTAGAGATCAAGCGTTCACGAACGAGTACAAATTCAATGGTTTTAATTGGTAAATGTTGACTATCCCAATGTATCATTCAAATTTAAGATAATGGCTCTTATATTTTTGATTGACAGTCATGACTCAGTGATGGATAGCTTGTACTGTATTAGAGTAAATCCCACCAATATTTTGTTAGTAAGTTGTTAAATGGTGATAAACATCAGAAGACTTAAGAATAACGATCATGATTAATGGATTTTCAAATGTAACTTAATGGCCATTGGTTTGTTAGATCCACGACCTAACTGTATAAACGGTAATCCATATGAATAGAAAGGAACCTTTCACTAGATATCTAACTATTATTATTGACCCAAAATCTTAATCCTGGCACTCTTTTTTGACATTTTTTAAAGGATGTTATTGCATTTGTTATTTGGTTAAATCACTTGGATTCCTGTTGGCTAATTCTCAGCCCAATGTCGTCAATACAGCATAGCCTTGTGTAGTATGTAACACCGATTAGAATTGGAACACCTGGCAACAGAACGTTGGAAAGATCGAATGAAAGAGAACCAGAACAGAGAGCAACTCTAATAGCAACGAAGGAACAATGAAAATTGAGACAAATGATGGAGAATTAGCAAATAAAGTATTGAATGTGTGATTTTTAATATTTTACGAAACTTTTTAATTTTATGTTAAGCAATAAATTGATCGTCTCCACCTGAGTGTTCATTTACAATAGTCTCACCTTTTGGTTTCAAGCAGTTAGTTGAAATTCACTTGGTATTGTTTACTTGTATCTTCCCATTGGTGTTTAGGACTGCAAATGATTGGTCTCTTATTGGAATATGTGCATCCTGTGCACATTGCATCGATATTGCCTTAATTTCAACAGTTGAGATCATGAGCCAATTGAAGCTAGACCCACCATGGAAAACCTGGAAGCACTGGACAACCGTTTCGTCCTATTGTGAGACCCCTCAGCAGTGCGCACCCACGACCCGCCTAGCGGGATTCGAACCCAGGACATACCAGTCTCGCGCCAGGCGCTTAACCAACTAGACCACTGACCCGGCATCCGGATCTCAACTGTTGAGATTACTACAATCTCCACAAAACCCTTTCTGATACTAATCAACATATGCTCACTAGTGATTGGCTTCAAGAGATATACCCTGGAGTTCTAGTGAGAAGCAGTGACCAGTGGAGTTCAACCGGGTCAGTTGTGAGGTAGTAACTCACTGAAGACAATGGTGGATGTGTCGCTCAATTTCGTGGATTAGTTGAATTTAGACATTAACATGCTGACCAGGTCAGTGGTCTAGTGGTTAAGTGCTCGCGAGCGAGACCAGTACGTCCTGGGTTCGAATCCCGCGAGACGGGGTCGTGGGTGCTCGCTGCTGAGGAGTCTCACAATAGGACGGAACGGCCATCCGGTGCTTGCAGGTTTTCCATGGTTGTCTAGTTTCAATTGACTCATGATCTCAACTGTTGAAATTACTACAATCTCCACAAAACCCCTTCTGATTGCCTTAATTCACAAGTATTATAAACAAAGAATCCAGTTTGACGTACGTTCCGTCCTATTTGGTACTCTTCAACTGAATGTGCTTGTATCTCAGAGTTGATATTCACTCTGTGACTTGAACACAGTACCATTCAATTCAAACGCCATCACTTTATCCACTTAACTACTGAATCCTGATAGTTACTTGCTTTTATAATAGAGTGAAGTCTGAATTCACTTGGTATTGTTTTACTTGTATCTGCAAATGATCAGTCTTATATTACCATATGTACATACTGAAATAATAGTTTATTTGAAATACTACATAATATGTTATACATGATTCATTAGAATTTCAATCAATCAATTTACTTCATACCTCACGTTTCATTTGTTCAATAGATGATTTATGTCCACGTATTTCATTATTACGTCGTTCTAATTCATCATCTTGTTCAAATATTGAATCTTCTCTTAATTTTAATTCTTCTTGAAGTTCTCTATTATCTTTCATTAATTTCTCTTGACTTTTTCAGCTTGTGTAAGATTATTACGAATCTATTTTAAATGATAAAAGAAAATATAAAAATTAACATTTAAGTGTAAATTTCCTATTGGAATTCAAGGTTTATATTTTTTTCTCACTTTGTGTAAGCAAATATGGATAGTGGCTAGCAGTGGGATCCAGATTCGTCCTATTCGTGACTGGATGTACCTGCATCTCTGGGACTCGAACCCAGTACCATTCGCTTCAAACGTCATAGCGTTATCCACTCAGCTACTGAGTCCTGATAGCCAATTGCTTGTGCAATGAGGTGAATTTGAATTCACTTGGTATTGTTTGGCTTGTATCTTCCCATTGATGTTTAGGACTGAAACTGACCAGTCTCTTATTGGTATATGTGCATACTATGCGTATGCCTCGATATTACCTTAATTGACAAACTATTTGTAAGCAATGACGGATAGTGGCCAGGAGTGGAATAGGACAAAATGCGCGTCCTAGTAGTCATCAATTTATTCGTCTAGTAAGTTGCTATTTAACTAGGAATTGTATTTTGAAGTTACTGACATTCAAAACCATATTTAGGACGTGTACATTTTGAGATGAATTGTTAATACCCGTGAGTACTGGTTTTTAATCTACTTTTGAATGGTGAGACTCAAGATCATTGATAATAAATGTCAACAGGTGATTGAATCATAGTTCTAAAAGAATTGATAAGCTGATGATGTAGTTCAGAACAACGATTAAAAGCTCCACGACTAAACCATCCGGCTCAGAGGATAAAACTTCATCAGAATTGATCAACCTTCATCTCACTTCTGTCAGTAGGTTTGATAAAGTTTTAATTCAAAGACAAGTTAATAAATAAAAGTTAACCTGGAAGATGATGTCGTTTATAATATAATATGGCGTTGTACTCTACTTATGTTAACAAATATAAGTAGGTAGTATTTAACACCAATCCAAAATGGAATGCATGCCAGTAGAAGATTGAGAAGACTGAATTGAAAAATACAGGAATGTAAATAGATAGTAATTGTAATAATAAGAGGAGTAAGGGAACAATGAAGTTTGTGATAGACAATTGATGAAACATGTACAAATAAAGTATTCAATATATGGTTTTCATATTTTAAGGAAACACTTGGTAATTCTGCATTAAACAATAATGTGAATCGCTCCCATCTGAGTTCCTATTCACTACATTTGATTATAGGTTGTCTTAACTGGTTGAAAATGTGGTCTTTAGTATCAATCTACACACTTAGAAAGTAAGGAATTCTTAAGGTTTTCATAGTTCACAATGTACTATATTATTGAGATGTTTCGAAATATCAGGATGGTAGGTTAAGTAAAGTATGTTGTTAATAAACTTCACGCAATAACTTTGTAATGTTGGTTACTATGTTAAACCCATATAACGTATTCTAGCTTCTGAACAAGTCAATTTATCCATTCTTCTTGAGTCAAATTTTGACTTTGTTAGTTATTCACTTATCATTCTTGACTGTTTTTATATGAGAGCATGTGTGTAGACACTTCTTATCGTATTCTCCACATGTCCGTAACTTATTCTTACCTGGCTATAAATATTGATTAACGCTTGATTAAACGGAGTTGGCTCACACGCCTTCTGTACTGTGCGCCATCTCACTTCACTCTCTTTTCTTCGCTTCCTTCTCTTCATCCCTCTTATTGTCTGTCCATATCAGTGAGTGTACAAAGTATAAGTATTCAAACATCCACTATCATATTTGACTTATTTAATTACATTAGTAACCAACCCGATTTCATTCGATAATTATATACGAGGATTGGTGATATGTATATTTCAATAACATTTGTACAATCTAATTGGAGTCAGATTCAGGGCCACTAAAACATTTTGTTTAAACAAATTTCCGAAGGATATAAATATGCATATTTCAAACGTTACCGAATGTGGCTGTTTATTATTGATAGTTGATATCACAAATGTTAACCCTGACGAATTCATACGTTATTCTCTAAACAGACACTCTATGATAACAGGCTCGAAATGTCTAGATACCTATTATTCTATCAAGTCATTTTATACGGATTCCAAGTTTCATAAGTATCCTACCATCTTCCCTTAGTATTCTTTATCCATATTTCGAAAATAGAACATATGTAACTAAGCAAAGATGGATAGTGGCTAGCAGTGGAATCCAGGAGCCGCTTTTCATCCTATTTGGGACTCGTCAGCTCTGCTTATAAAAGCTTGTGAATTAAAGCAATATCAAGGCATACGCAGAGTATACACATATGCCAATAATAGACTGATCAATTTCAGTCTTAAACTTCAATGAGAAGATACAAGCAAATGAATACCAAGTGAATACGTAACTAAGTCTAAAGTTATTTCAATCACTAACTGACTTCAGGGATCGAACCCAGGGCTCTCAAGTCTAAGAGTAAGCATATATATATACATAATGGTAATATTATTTTATCCTCAGGGCTACTTACAATTTGCATTTCTTTTCTCATACATTCAATTTCTTTTTTATAACTAGTTATTTCAACATTGGTCCCCAGTTTTTGTGACTGAAAAAGAAGATCAATAAAAATAAGAAAATACCAACAAAAAAAATCAATTTTTACAAAACTATATTGACATGGTAATAGATCCCTTGATCCCATTGTTGAATTGAAAGGGATGATTTCAATCAAATTATATTAGAGGTCGAATGTTCAAAGAATAATAAAGTATGACCATATTTAGTATTGAACAATAGAAAGGATAATAAACGAGTTCCACTTCTAATAAAAGTCTATTTTGGAAATTTTCCTCATTCTATAAATATCATAAGATGGTTGTTGAAGGTAGTACAACAGGACCAGACATACATGACATTGATCATTACCCTAGTGATCAATCACTAATTGTATCTATCAATATCATATTGTTTTATGGAATCTCTTAAAATCAACTATTCAGTAGATGAAAGTAATTGAATTGCTTGAAATGTAATAATCTTGATATATACTATGTGAACTATTGAAGTATCTACTGAAGTACCTATTTCTTATTTCATAATATATAAAGTTTCGTCAATATCAGTTGATATGCTCCATATGAAGTACCTTGATATCTTCTGATCATTCGTTATTCTTCTGTCTGTTAGAAACAAGTTATAGCCTGTCAAATATTCCAATATTTGAAAGAACCAATATTGATTGAAAGGTTCAGTAGGACAACATCTATATGATCAGTATTAAACTAGACTAAAAGGATATTTTCAACTTTATTCATTTTATGAACCAAACGAAGTACTTTTAATATTGTATACATTTCTATCATAAATTACCAGTTGAGGCAGTTCCAAGCAGTATTTTGAAACATGTTATGATGTCAGTGGATTTACAAGTCTACTGTATAATTGTGGAGAAGATAGGTAGCTCAGGTGGATGGAGCTTTCAACGTTCTTCTGAACGACATTGTCAGCACAAACTTGACGATCAAAACATCCAGCTCAGAGAACAAAACTCTATCAAAATTTGTATAAACGTTTTTTGTGAAACATCTTCAGATCTTAGGTTATTTTTCATTTTATTCAAATGTCTTAAAAATAACCTGGTCATCAAATTTACATCATAGACTCATCTCCTTCACAGGGGATGGTACATAGATAATTCAGATCTTGCAACGAGCGACATACCATTAAATCATCTAGTTAGCGTCTAATAGGGTATGTGTTTAATCTGAACTAATTAACTGATCATACTAGAAAGAAAAATGTGCTTAGTTCATTTTGCTTTCCAATACTTTTCTAATTAAGATCAGTCTATGGTGCATCATATAAAAATTCAACAATCTATACAAACACCTATGTCAATGAAAGGAACACAATTGAATAGTATCAACCAACATAGATCAACATAAATTCATCCGAATATTGTAAAAGAATAAGCAAACCTTGATTTCACTTGGTTCCTTCTCCATTAATGCACGCATTGCTTCATTCATTTTACGCATTTGTTCAACACGTGATTTTAAATCAGCAATTTGTTCATCACGAGCATCAAGTATTTCTTCTTTTTCATCCAACTAAAATAAATTTAATGTAATTCATCTCAAATCATTGAAACAAATTAATAGATCTCAATAAATATTTATGTTCAATTCATGAATCAATTCAAGTTAGACCACAATGGAAAACGTGAAATCACCGGCCGACCATTTCGTCATATTATGGGACTCCTCAGCAGTGCGCATACACGATTAACGTCTTGACCACTGAGCTGATATCCAACGGTGTTAATGTCTAACTTCAACCAATCCACGAAAATGCTCGATCATCTTCCATTGTGTCGAGGTATATATCTATCTCTACGTGACATGGATTAGCTCCATTAACCACGGCTTCCCACTAGAACTTCGAAAATTCTCTCATAATGCTAGTCAGTAGTGAGCACATGGTAATTATGCGGTTGTATAGATTATTAAGTTTTTGATTGAGATGATGAATCAATTGATGTTAGACCATCATTAAAAACCTGGGAGTACTGGACAGCCGTTTCATCCTACAATGGACTCCTCAGCAGTTATTCTAGTTTCTGGACAGATCAAGTTATTCATTTTTCTTAAATTAAATGTTGACCTTGTTAATTATTCGTTTCGTTTAGGCATTCCCTTTCCTGGGTTCACCTCGATTCGATTTGATTATGGATACTGAGTCACGCTTAACTAAACTGAGTTGGCTTACATGCTTTACCAATTTACCTACTCATGTGAAGCTAGGTAGATAGGTCGTTTGATGCGTACTTTATCCAAAAGAATTCAAGAACATTATCCGGCGTGACTAAATACAGGAGGAAACGGCTGAGTGAGAAGTTCACTAATCGAACACCATGTGAACACGGGTCACTCAAAGTCATCTGAAAGGTAAGTAGAAGTCTTCTAAAGACAATTAGATTGAATCTACTTTGCATTGCCGAAGCAATAGCCATACATCTAGGAAAACCATAATTGTGTGTGCAAAAAAGATTGGTACAACCACTTCTTCTACCATGGTTTTAATGTCTCATAATCTTTTTCTTTTTTTTCCTTCTTCATACTCTTCTTCCTTTACAGCCATTTGCCTCATCTTCCATCTTCCATTGAAATCTTCTACCCCCAAATGGTTTATTTCTGTTTCTATGATCCTCCTGATAAAGTTTATTCTCAATTTCAACATTTTTTTTCTTATCATACTGAACCATCCTTCACCCCTGACCCTTTCACATAACTGCCAACATCATAAAGAATATCTAATTCAATGAACAATGATACTGACATGATTTACTTACCTCTTTTTGTAATATCTCACTTCGTTTACAATCTAATTGTTTTATAGAATTTTGATCAATAGAAATATTGGATTTCGATGCTATTTCTAAATGTTTTTGTAAAATTAAAGTATGTTGATGTTCTTCAGAGAGAAGTTTTTCCAAGGATCGAATTCTTTGATATGGATCCTAAATGATAAGATGAAAACAATCATTATGAATAGGTATTCAATTCTAATTTCATTGAGTTAATTTTAAAATGATTTATAGCTTAGATGAATGATTTGGATGATGTTTTTTTTCTTTGAGTTAGATGGTTTGGTTGTGGAGCATTCACAGTTCTTCTGAACGATATCATTAGCAATAATAGGTTTAAGGTCAATATTACTTACTTTCATCATGAGGCGTCATAGTTCTTGTAAATGAAGACCTTCTGACTCCCAGGGCAGAGTTTAAAAGGTTTGAATAATTTTTTTTGGTTAGCGTTTTTTAGCGAGTTAGTTTTCTACGGGATGGGGACGCTAACCCCATGCCCAACCCTCCTCCTTTATCCGGGCTTGGGACTGGCAGTAGCCCCCGGAGGGACTTCAGGTCAATATGAACCATTAAAAATCCAGGTCTACAGGACAACCTATGAACCATATGTAGAGAAATTTTAACACTTCACTTCTGTCTGAAGTTTAGGTTGATTGAATGTGTCAGAAATCTGAAGCTCATTCACAATGACTAATTTTGTCAATTAGATTTAATCATTAAGCTGCCATACATATCCCAGTGTAATTTGAAAATTTCATCATGATAATGTCTTATCATTATTTTGATTTAAAAGGATAATTAACTGATACAGACATTCTAAACTGTGATATCTACAGTAAATTGTACACTTTGACAATTTAAAAAGATTTAATTTATTCATGAGTTGATTAAAGCTAGACCATCATGGAAAACCTGGAAGCACTAGATGGTCGTTTCGTCCTATTATGGGATTCCTTATCAGTGCACATCCATGATCCAGTAATCGAGATTTGAACTTAGGACCATCGGTCTCTCACGCGAACGCTAAATGCCTAGACTACTGGTCCGTCCGACCGTTGCTTCCAAGTTTTCCGTGGTGGTCTAACTTCAATTGATTCATAAATGCATCTATTAAATTACCACAATCTCAACAAGAAGCCATATTCTAATTCAATTAATTCATCAAGAGTACTTATGATGAAATAAAATCACTTGAGAAAGATCGACAACTGGTTATTAAAATTTACTTGGTATTGTTTGCTTGTATCTTCCTATTTTATTTAGGACTGCTATTGGTCAGTTTCTTATTGGCATATATGCATCCTGTGTGGATATCACTGCTAGCCACTACCCATCTTTGCTTATAATTCTTGTGAATTAAAGCAATATCGAGGTGGTCCGGACCGGATGCACATATGCTAGTAAGAGACTGATCAACTGCAATCCTATACACCAACGGAAAGGTACAAGCAAACAATACCAAGAGAATTTGAACTTCACCCCACTGCACAACTATGTGACTATCAAGACTCAGTCGCTAAGTGGATAACACGATATCGTTTGAATTGAATGATACTGTGTCCGAATCCCTGAGTGAACAACGACTCTAAGATGCAGGTACATCCAACTGTCGAGTCCCGAATAGGACGAAACGTGCATCAAACTGGATTCCACCGCTAATCTGTGATCAGTTTTAAATTTATTCAAAATTTTAATTAACATAAATGTGAACTATTTATCAATGATCCCTACAGTCATTTAATCATCTGCAAATCTGTAAGGAAGACATTTAAATTGTATTAAAACATTGAATCAAGTGTAACAGTTAGACAGATAGTTTACTCAGTGATTATCTCACTCAATCTTAGGTGTATTTGAATACTTTTCAGCAACATTGTTTAAGCATACAATAGACAGTCATATATGAAATAAAGTAATAGATGATTGTAAATAGAAGATTTAACTGAATAACTCACTACTGTTTTAACTGATTCATTTGAAATTTCATCAACTTTCTTAGTTACAGATGATTGATCTTCCATTGTGTAATTCACATTGAGAAGACTGAAATAATATAACGAAGAATAGTCATCATAATTATTATTATTACTATGATGGTCAATATAGAAATTCTGGATTAGTTAATAGTTTATTTCCTAACTCTTTGATATGAATCACTTTCTTGTTTGGAAACATTCATAGGCATATTCACTCAAACTCAAAAACCATCATTGAAGAACTCAGTTAGTATCTAGTTGTCTGTATGTTACGACTTCAGTAGGTTTGTGACATAGTGGTAGCGCTATGATTGAATACCATCGTTCTTAACATCATTAACCTTCATATCTATGATCTTTTTTATTACAACACTGATAGTTTTGTTTAAAAGCTTATATTTAGTACTTTAGTATGTCTTTTGGAGTTGCATTTCTAAATACTCATTGCTAAAGAGTTCCTATCTCAGTCACTCAATCAAATTTAACGTAGAACTTGGGAAATATGTGCATTCTGTTCATGTTGTTACACTACATTGGCACAGCGAAAAGTCCCAGTTTAACCGAAGTAATAACATTATTGATTGTAATGATACCAAAATTAAGTATAGAAGAAACGGTTTGAGAAACGATGTGGATTTAGGGTGTAGAAAAACTAAAGGTAATCTAAAAATTTAGGATCTAGGGAGGACAAAAACTGAATACTTGTGAGACATTTTACGTAAATTCTCTAGTCAATAATTGCAGAAATCACGAAGGCGACAAATATGTAGTCTGCATCTAACTACACTGTATGGCCCAAGTGTCAATGATTTCATGAATTGATTCTACGTCTTGTTATGGTTGCTTCTTGTTTTCCTCCAACCTACTCCTACATCAGACAACATCGCCCATCAATATAAAGAAGTTATAATTTACGATTTAAAATGGTTCTCCAACTAATGCCATTTCTGTGATAAGTGGTAAATCCATATACTAATATGGAAATAATTTTATAGCATGAATAGGCTGTTTTTCAGTTCATAGAAATGATCATTCCTTTTGATCAATGTCATCAAATGTTGTAAGTGAAAGCCACATAGTCGATTAACAGTGATTAACATTGTATACATAGTCAACATATACTTAAAGTTATGAATTGGAGATTGCTAGCTATTATCAAAAATCTCCTTTTATTTACTAATTTAACGTAGTATTGTAGTGAATGAGAATACAAGTGGGGACAATCGAATGTATTTGAACACAAAATTACAGAATATTTTAATGGAATCTGAGAACCATAGAGTAAAGACCTCATCTGCAAAATGTCAAACAGTTGTCTCAGTCTTCATTGTTTCTTCATCTCTACACTAATCATTCTATGTTCTCGTTCTCTTTTCTTTGATCTTATTAACTTTCTGATGGTACATACTACTTATATCTGTCGACATCAGTAGCATACGCCACAGTGTGATTTTGATCAATAGAATCCCATAAAGCTAAGAACGGGATAACTTGATAGCAGTTACCGTCATGTGCAACAACAGATAATCTTTTATATGTTTGTCACAATTTTAAATGAGTCAATAATAACATCTAGTTCTATGGAGAATGCATATATATATATATATATATATATATATATATATATATATATATATATATATATATATATATATATATATACTAAAAAGATGAATACCAACTCATATGAAACCTAAGTTGAAAGGTTGTTGCTGATAGCCCAAAAACTAATTGACATACTATAATCAAAATAGGTTTTGTGGAGATTTTAGTAATTTTATAGTTGAATTCATGAGTCATGGGTTCGAATCTCGCGAGGTGGGATCATGGATGAGCACTGCTGAGCAATTTAATACTAGGACAAAACGGCCGTCCAGTGCTTTTAGGTTTTTCCATGGTGGTCAAGCTTCAACTGACTCATGAATTCAACTATAAGATATACTATAAGAATACAGATAGTTATTCATAGACTGTGCTTCGCACTCACTTTTTATTGATATTATACAAAACAAATAGATCAATAAAAGTGGCTTATATATAGATACACAGATAAACCTCCTAATATCCAATTCCTCTGACCAATTTTAAACATTCATTCATTATGATTATTATATTATTTTAATCTTTTCAAAAGAGCAACTATGGAGAAATATATTGACAAACAGATGGTGTTCCGATGGGTTCACCAGTGGACCCTAGACTAGCTGATATTTTTCTAACCAAACTAGAAAATGGTCCACTAAAAAAAGATTATTCAAAAATTCACATTTTACTGTGGAAATATAAATGACACGTTCATCGTCTGTAAAGATAAAACATCACAGTAAGAGGTTCTTAGATGATTTAATGAAGTTCATCCGGCCATTCAGTTCACATCTGAAGAAGAAAGTGATTGTCGAAAAGCCTTTTTGGATGTTCTCTTAACTAAGAGAGGGGTTGAATCATTAAAAAGGAACTTAGACAAAAAGGTACATGAACTGGGCAATATACGCATTTCCTTAGCTTTGTACCTCTACAGTACAAACGAAACTTCATCAAAATCATTAGTTACCGAATATGCACTATATGTTCTGCGGATATAGTTAAAGATGAGCTTAACACCTTGCATAATACTCTTAGGGAAAAAGGTTACCCCAGAAAGTTTATAATTAAATATATGATCACGAAGGTGAGAATAGGCGAAATACAAACGGTGAATAAGAAATCTCTGTTCATGAGCCTACAATTCAGAGGGGATCAGGCTAGTGAAATATTGACTCAGAGATTACGCAGAACAATACAAAAATCATTTTAACGCCGGAGAAATAGGATTAGTGTTTTATACGCGTCCAATGGTGACACCGAGGCTAAAAGATGAATTACCTAGGATGATCACCTCATTTTGTATTTATCAGTTCGATTACCCATGTGGAACAAGTTATATTGGTCGAAGTTCTGAAGATTTACATTTTCGTGCTCGCGAACACCTCCCAGCGTGGCTAAGCAAAGATTTGGTGAATAAAGTGAATAGCTCGATATTGGCCTATTTAGTACAAACTGATCATTGTGCCAGTATAAGCCAATCTTTTTCAATTATTTTTAAGGTCAGTAATTTTTTGCCAAAATTTATCAGAAATATTTTCAACAGCTTATCCCCCTTGCTAACCTCAAGGCCAGGTAATCGATAGTAATCCTAACTATTGGATGACCTAATTTGACTATTGTACTTACGACCTTTCGTAGTCAAATGTAATTGTCTCTGTTATCTTTATTCACAAATCTTTGTATTAAAATTAATATTAACACTTCGTGTTCATCCCACCTTATTATGTTTTACTAATGATTTTTTACACAATATAGTCTTCCACTAAACGTCTGATCGAATTAAGTCACAAGCTTTTCAAGCAAAAATGGATGGTGGTGGAATAGCAGTGGAATCCAGTTTGACAGGCGTTTTGTCCTATTTGGGACTCGTCAACTGAGTGTACTTGTATCTCAGAGTTGATGTTCACTCTGGGACTTGAACACAGTACCATTCAATTCAAACGCCATCATTTTATCCACTTAGATACTGAGTCCTGATAGCTAAATGCTTGTGCAATGGGGTGAAGTTTAAATTCACTTGGTGTTGTTTTACTTGCATCTTCTGATTGTTATTTAGGACTGCAATTGATTAGTCTCTTATTGACATATGTGCATTTCGTGTGTATTGCCTCGATATTGTCTTAATTCACAAACTTTATAAGCAAAGATGGACAAGTCTCAAATAGGACAAAATGCACGTCAAACTGGATTCCACTGCTAGCCACTACCCATCTTTGCCTATAATACTTGTGACGTCAGGCTATATCGAGGCAGTTCGCACAGTATGCATATATAAGAGACTGATCAATTGCAGTCCCAAATAACAATGGGAAGATACCAGTAAAACAACACAAAGTGAATTTAACGAGTTGTAATTGCATTATTACTTCCCTCACCCTATCTGACCCATATTTATTCTAATCATGGATCCTAAATTTTCACTTAATATATAAGCTTTTTCAAATTAACATTCTATATGAGTCATATCAACATTAACAAACTTATTCTATTTTGTTTGACAATTCCAGATTCATATGCCTTAAACGATGTAGTTTGCCACTAACCTGACTATTTTTCGGATTATTAATTTAGATTATATAATTGTAGAACTGTTATAACTTGTGACTTGTGTACCCTGTTATTGTTTACGTAATGATACCGCCAAATGGAGAGCAGTGAATTATCGATCGGAACAATGACGCCTAAAACCGGTGCGAGCAGAGAATTTATCGAAAAGAATATTCTTCATTTATAGATCAGTCTTTTATTATATTATCAGTAAAGGATTGTGAAGATTATTATGTTATTGAATGAGACCATGAACTGATTGATGTTAGACCACCACTGAAAACCTGGATGCACTGGACAGTCGTTTCGTCTTATTGTAGGATTCCTCAGTAGCAGTGCACATTCACGATCCCACCTCATGCTATTCGAACCAAGGGCCTTCAGTCTCTCATGTGAACTCTCAACCTATTACACAACTGAGCCGGTATCCAACCATGTTAATGTCATTAGTATTTTTTATATTATCCAAATGTTCATCTAAATTATTGATTAATTTATAATCAATTTAATTGTTGTCTATGAAAATATTTCCCTTTTTTTAAAATATTATTTGTTAATTATTTTTGCACATTTTTGGAAAGGTTAAAAAATAGGTACCTAGTAACATGATGAATAAGCTTGATGTATTTCTTTTTATTTTGATTGGTTAATAATTTATTGAATAATAAATCAATAATGACACGCTTTTTTCTATTGGTTAATTAATAATAAATAAAGGATATGATTTTATTTTTCAGTGTATAATGTGAATTTTGATTTCAATAGTTAAATCCATAAATCGATAAAAGCTGGATCATCATGAGAAACTTAAAGTACTAGATGGCTGTTTCGTTTTAATATGAAACTCATCAATGGTACGCATCTACGATCCCGCACTAAAGGAGACTCGAACCTAGGAAATTCGATCGCATGCACGAACACTTGACCTATTAACCACTAGCTTCAAGATGATTTACTGAAGTTCTAGTGAAAAGCTGTGACCAGTAGAGTCTAATCCGTGTTGAGTATAGAGTATATATCTACCTCAGACAATGAGTGAATGGTTGCGCAGCCACTCATGGATCGATGGAATTTAGACATTAACACCGTTGGATGACGGCTCAGTAGTCTAAAGTTTAAGCGTCTGCATTTGAGACCAAAGGTTCTCAATTTAAATCCAATATGTCTGATCGTGGATGCGCATGGCTGACGGGCTACATACTAGGATGTAATTCAATTGAAGCTAGACCACCATGGAAAACCTACAAGCACTGGACGGCCGTTTCGTCCTGTTGTGGGACTCCAACTGACTCATGATCTCAATTATTAAAAATGACTGTAATATCCACAAAAACGCCCTTCTGATGCTAACAGCATATGCTCACCAGTGACTGGATTCAAGAGGTATTTACTAGAGTTCTAATGAGAAGAAGTGAATAGTGGAGTTCAATCGACTCAATGGTGAGATAGTAACTCACTGAAGACAATGATAGACGGTGGCTCAATTTCCTGGATTGATTGAAGCTGGACATTAACACCTTTGGATGCCAGCTCAGTGATCTAATCGTTAAGCGCTCGCGTGCGAGACTGACAGCTCCTGAGTTGATATCTCAGGAGGCGGAATCGTGTATGAGCACTTTTGAGGAGTCCCACAAGGAGGACGTAATGGCTGTCCTGTGTTCCCAGGTTTTTCATGGTGGTCTAGCTTCAATTTAACAATGGTCTCAACCATTAAAATTACTGAATTATTTATTAGTGAATAACAGAATTACATTTTACTTGTTTATTACTATCACAATTATACTTTAGTGATTACATTCAAAGCTTATCTAATATACGTTTAAGAAACCAAGCCATTCTATAATTCACACATGCGTAGCTTATCAAGTTTCTATTAATAAACATGGGAAAATCTCTAAAGAAATTTAATTCTGAGAGTTATTTCCAAAAAATAACCTATTTTGAAGTGGATAAACCCGTTAAATAAAGTTTTTATGACTTTTGTAGGTGTTGGCATCGGATAGATTACTATGCAATTGATTGATCACTGGGCAGCAATCAGTACCATCTATTTCAAGTTCATTTCAACGTTGATCGAATTTAATTGATCAAGTTTCAATGTGTTCACTGTTCTGAGTTACTTTATTACTTATGCACTATTTTGAGGTATTAAGTAGTTAGAGATTGTCGATAAGAAACCCTGGACTTAGATTTCGTGCTATTTGGCACTCTTCAATGAGATATACCTGTAAAATTGGTAGAATTTATTCTTCTTTCCAGATTTGATCCTGTATTATCCAGTTCCAAAGACACAGACGTTACCACTGAGTTATCCGGTCCCTCTTAATACCGATCGAATTCAGTCGATAGATTACCTATCAATATATAATTATTTCGTAGTTTATCTTTTTTCATAAGATTCTTTAGCCTTACGTTATGTTGCCTGTGGACAATATAGTTATGTTTGAATGCGATAATGATAACAATTGCCAGCTTTATTGAGTTTATTTTAATGAATGTCAGGTGATCGTTTTGTTTCTACTTTTCAGCGTGCGTAACTTACGAACATGAAGTACATTAATTACATTTAGCAATCAGTTTACGTATTTTTGAAGTTGAATCCAGATTGAATTAACCGTACCAAATATAATTTTGAATACAACAGATCCGTTTCGCATTCGTTGAATTCATTCCACATTCAATGCCTAATCGATATTTATTTGTTTATCTATAGTCTAGTACACTTAAACAACAATTTACTTTCTTTTAATGTACAATGTTGTAAGAGTCCGAAGTACTAGGCGAGTGAACAGTCTTAAAACAAGATACAAGTTTCCACTTAATTTGAATTCATACAGAATTACTTAAATGCAATATAAGCTATTCGTATCGAATCACCGTCTGTTACGCCGTGTATTATAGCAGCTTGGCTAGAAATATTGATATTTATTCGTTCATTTATCTATTCTTTAGCAATTACATCAATCTATATATGGAAATAAGAAATTACTAGATGATGTTTATACTTCACCAATATCATATTACAGTTATATAATATATCCTTGACGGCCTGCATAATTTTACATTGGTTTTCAGGAGGATCAGACATCATCCGGACTTTCACGTGACAACCTAAACAATACAGCTCAATCCCGTTTAACAGGAGAGCCAGACACCTCCAAGGCTTAACCCGAGCAGTACGGCTCAACCCAACTTACAGGACAGCCAGACACTACCCAGGCTTAAAATTTATAACACGAGCAGTACAGCTCAATTCCGTTTCACATAAAAACCAGACAATACTGAATAGTATCAAGCACCATGGTGGACCATTCGCACCATTCATATACACATCCACATCACATGTATAATTATTCCGATCACTGATAGCGTAGATCAATCACGCACAGTATGAACAGGTCAAAGTTGATCTATTCCACTTATACAACAGTCTAACTCATTAATGTTAGCAATGACGATATGCCTTACAATGTCCCAATAACAATGGCCATTGAGAACGCTGGAAAGTAAACACCGGTCTGAATAAAATCGGTTAAACAGCAAACCAATTTTGCATATGAACAGTCAGTAAAACTTGCCAAAGTAATACCGAACTATCCACAATATCAATACTGAACCTCCTGTCCCATATAAGACCTTCAGTTCTACATAACAATATCACACATAACCTTTTAAATAGTTATTAATCTTACCTGCATATTTCTAATAACAAATTATTATTTTGTTCTTCTAACATTATCACCAATTCATTGAATACGGTAGATTTACTTTGTAAATTACTTAAACATTTCAATAGATCACTTTCACGTCGATTAAATTCTGTACAGTTTTCTATGGTTGATTCTTCAAATTGTTTATAATGATGTCGGACATTATTGATTTGTTCATTTACTTCATTAATTTCGTTGGTTTTTTGATCTGTGTTGTTTTGTTTTTTTGTGGTTGATGAAAATTAGGGCAAAAATATAAAAAAAGAGGGGAGAATGATTTAAAACAAGAAACATTTTTTAAAGTTTAATTGATTATAAGTTCGAGCCCTGTAATGGAAAGTTGTAATAGTTATTCCGCACTTGAAATCACTTTTGATTTGCCTAGGGAATAATATCTTTTTGTCGCTAGCGTTTTTTTAGCGAGTTAAAGACCGATGTCAGACAAGATTACTTACTCTCACACTTTCTCTTTCTCCTGGTGATCGGCTGGATCATCAAGACGTCAACATCTGAGGAGAAGCAAAGGATACGATGGACATCTAGGATGCAGTTGGACGATCTACACTTCACAGATGATCTCGCTCTTCTATTGCACACGCAACAATAAATGCAGAAGAAAACGACCAGTGTAGCAACAACCTCAACAACAGTAGGTCTCAACATACACAAAGGGAAAAGCAAGATTCTCTGATACAACACAGTATGCAACAATCGAATCACACTTGATGGAGAAGATTTGGAAGATGTAAAATCCTTCACATATTTGGGCAGCATCATTGATGAACAGGGTGAATGTGATGCAGATGTGAAGGCACGGATCATCAAAGCGGGAGCATCATATTTACAACCGAAGAACATCTGGAACTCAAAACAATTGTCAACCAATACCAACGTCACAGTTTTCGATACAAATATCAAGACAGTTCTACTGTCTGGGGCGGAAACGTGGGGAATTACGAAAGCCATCATCCAGAAGATACAAGTGTTTATTAACAGTTGTCTAAGCAAAATACTTCGCATCCTTTTATCAGACACTATCAACGACAACCAAATGTGGGAGAGAACAAATCAAATTCGAGTGGAGGAAGAGATCAGGAAGAAGAGATGAAAGTGGGTAGAACACAAATTGAGAAAAGCACCCAAATGCGTCACAAGACAAGCACTCACATGGAATCCACAAGGTCGAAGGAGGAGAGGAGGAACAAAGAACACATTATGCTGAGTAATGGAGACGGACGTGGGAAAAATGAACAACATTTGGATAGAACTAGAAAATAAGGTCCATGACAGAGTGGGTTGGTGAATGCTGGTCGGCGACCTATGCTCGATTGTGGGTAACGGGGGTAATTAAGTAAGTAAGGAAATAATATTGTGAAAATTTTCTAACTCTTTATATCTTGATCGGAAGTAAATACATCAGACTTAATAGATTACAATTTGTTTACCCGGATCACTGGTCACGTTGAAACACTATTAACAGAATTCGGTTAACACTAAAGGACTACACAAATAAACTCGATAATCAATCAATCCTAAATATATTAGTTTAATAAAAGTTTAGTCAAGATCATCAGAAATGTCTTACACTGTGGATAAGACTTGTTTGTATCTACCAACGAGCATTATTTCTGAGATGATGGGGAAGATTTGTAGCTCAGATGGATGATTTTGATGGAGTTTTATTCTCTGAGCTGGATAGTTTGGTCGTGGAGCTTTCATCGTTCTTCTGAAAGACACCATCATCAGGTATTCTTCTACATGAAGTTCGTGCTGATGATGTCAATCAGAAGAACGATGAAAACTCCACGACCAAACTATCCATCTCAGAGAACAAAACTCTATCAAAAGTATTATTTCTCTTAAGATTTTAAGTTTACCTTACTGAAGAGTGGAAACTAGAATAAAACCTTGGTGAAGAGTTTCATGTGGACTACTTCCAACCACTTAACATCTCAACATGGTGAACGCGATATTGAGTCAATTAGATTAGTGATAGTTTTATTATATCAGTAGAATTCGTTCAGCGCTACAAAACTGGATGAACATGATACAGATTAATACTCAATAATCATACAATTATGGACTTTTATTCGTCTGCATGATTTCTAACTGGAATGGTGTGGATTTATTTAATCAAATATAATATTCATTCAAGTTAACCTAAATCCACATTAAAATCAAGTTTCATATAGCCTTATTACTATCGGTTTAAGGTAATCTATTATCAAGACAATGAAAAATGAATCAAAGTGAAATGACCATTTTTGTGACCCTAGATATGACTCGAATTGGATCGTATGAATGTTATTGAGAAATACATATCACCAATCCTTGTATAGAATCATCGAACTAATCCACAGAATTAAATAAGTCAAATACAAGAATGGATGTTTGAATACGTATATTTTGTACACTCACTGAAATAGATAGATAATAAGAGGGACGAAGCGAAGAAAGAAAAGAGAAGAGAGTGAAGCGAGATGGTGCACAATGAAGATGGCGTGTGAGCCAACTCCATTTATTCAAACGTTAATCAGTATTTATGGCCAGATAAGAATAAATTACAGATGTGATGAGTAGGATAAGAAGTGTGAACACACATACGCCTATATAAAAACAGTCAAGATTGATAAGTGAATAATTAATCAGATTAAAATATGACTCAAGAAGAATGGATAAATTGACCTGTTCAGAAGCTAGAATAAGTTATGTAACCGTCACTACATCATAGTAATGAGTTTCAACGTCACTAAGTGGCATCTTTAGATTTTTTATGGTTCTGTTTTAGTGAACGAGAACACAAATAGGGACAATCGAAAACATTTGGACAAAAAATGGTAGAACAGCTTAGTAAAATCTGATAATCATACAGTAAATACTTCATTTGCAAAATTCCAATCAATTGTCTCAAACTTCATTTTTATCTCGTTTCCACACCAATCACTTTTTGTTGTCGTTCTCTTTTCTTTGATCTTGTTAACCTTCTACCGCCAAGCATTTCACTCTCACTTGACTATATATACTAATTATATCTGTCTTGTTATCTAGCTGTATAGTGTAATTTCACTGTCATATTTAATTAAAATAGAACCGAATCTATTTCGAACTTCCTGATTAACGAAGTATAGGTAATGATCAGAAAGGGTTTTGTGGAGATTTTAGTAATCTAAGTAGTTGAAATCATGTCTCAACTGAAGCTGGACCACCATGGAAAACCTGAAAGCACTGGACGGTCAGTTCAAATCTCGCGGGGGTGCTGGATCGTAGATGAGCACTGCCACGGAGGATTCCCATACTATGACAAAACAGCCGTCCAGTGCTTCCAGGTTTTCCATGGTGGTCTAGCTTCAATTGACTCATGATTTCAACTATAGTTAATGGTATTCGGAATAAAAGGACAACATAAAATAGCTTAATAATTTGTATTGTGAATACATATTGAATACATATAATCATTTCCGAAAATTCCTATCATGAAATGATATTTGTTTATTGCTTATTGAATGATTAGTACTACATTGTCGATAGGATACGATCTAGATGTTTTTCTTTATTTTCCATTCAACATTTAGTTAATCTAATTTAAATTTAACTAAATGGTTCAAGATATTCCTAGTTATGAATGTGAATGACTTATGGAGATTGTTAGTGTGTCTTTTTTATAGTTTAAATTGGATAGTTGTTTCGTCTTAGTATAGGAATCCTCAGCAGTATGCGTCAATAAAACCTCAAGGGACTGAGATTAAAACATTTAGGTACCACAAAAAGAGTGACCTTAAATGATTGTGTAACTAAAGTAAGTTCATGATGTAAACTATAATATTCCTTTTATTTTCTTCATCATGTCGATGTTTAAATTCGACAGTACACTGTATTCCTGCTTACGTTTATGTTATGTCCCGATAAGAATAATGAGTAGTAACTTTGGGATCCATTTATGGAGGCTGAGATTGGTGTTCTGGACTTAACTGGCTGAGCTAGGCGGAAAGTAGGACCAATCAGGACTTTAGACTGCTCGTACGGGTTTTATGCGTCACTGGTCCGAACGATAATTCACTGCTTTCTGATTGACGGTATCGTTACGTTATACAATAAACAGGGCACACAGGTCACAAGTTACAACAGTTTAAACTGATAGTTAACCATTAAACTGTCTGATGTCAATCAAGACTCCTTACTAATCTTACCTAATTCTTCTTCTAATTTTTTAATCTCTTCAATTAATAGTTCTTGACTCATTGATTCTAAGCGTATAGTACGTGGTTTACAACTTTTAACTGGTTTCTCTATCTTCTTCTCATTAATACGTAGTTTAACATTGTCATCTTGTAATTCAATCAGCTTCTTTTTCAGACGTGTTATCTATGAAATAGAAACGAGAAAAATAGAATGAAATTAAAGAGATTATCAACGATAGATACATAATTAGTGCATAATATAGTAACTATCCTACCATTATTGCATCTCGGTTATGCTTAGGTTTAATTAAGCCCTTTAATTAACTTACTTAACAGATAATGTTATTAGAACAGTAACAATACACTTATTCACTTGTACTGTTATGATCACTAGATCACATGATAGACTAGTTAAAATGTTGATTACTTAAATATCACTTGGTGATTCATTCTCCTCTCTATGTAGGTATGTACTCGAATCCTATTATTAGTCCTTGATTTGCATTGCTGTGCCCTTATGAGATTTGACTATAAATTTGCCTCTGTAGTTGCTCGCATATATATACATATTCGTCTCTGTGCTTCAAATTCACTTGATGTGTTTATAGCTTTGTGATCTGCGCTATCCGCTAATGAACTGTAGTTGCGGCTTCTCATTGCCCTCTGATTTCAAACACCGTTGAGATTAATATTATAAGTTATCGAGGTGATTTATTAACGAAGTAAAGCCACTACTATAGAATCTTCTTTTGGGTTCTTTGATACACCAATGTTTTATTATAGATTAGATTCGTCTTAATGTATATTTGATAAATACTTGATCCGGTCGACAAATCACTATTAGCAATATCATTACATTATATGTGAATAGGGATGTGATTCCCACCCTCGAAATGCTTCAGGATTGGGTTGCATCGACACTCGAACTAATGATAGGATGTGAAGTTGTTGAGCGTGTCGACCGCTTCACTGATCTTGGGAGTCTCATCAGTCCTTGTGGTCTGGTGTGTGACAAAACCTCAGCACGAATACAGAAGGCTCGACTAGCTTTTGCCAACTTGCGTCCTACTTTATGGCAGTGAAACATTTCTGGTAAGAGTAGAGGACATTCGTAGATTACTAGTATTCGATCATAGCTGTCTTCGAAGCATCGCACGTATGTCCTGAGACCACCGATTAAGTAATGCAGTTTAGGAAACGGGTACTAGGTAAGGAGGGCAAATCAATTGATAAAGTAGTGACACTTCATCAGTTGAGATGGCTGGGATACGTGTTATCTATGCCCAACCACCAACTGCCCCGACGAGCGATGTTTTATGGTGTAGGTGTTTGTTGGAAGAAAGGTAGGGGCGGCCAGACCAAAACATGCCACAAATCCATGAAGTCACTGACAAGTGAACTGCACCATGTTGGTAGTTGTAGACTACCTGGTTGGGATCCGCGAGATGATAGCAACTGATGGTTAGACACCTTGAATGAAATGGGTCAAAATTGTTTGCAGTGTCGCAGGTGCATCCACTCTTTGTGTTCTCCCAAATTCTAAGCTTCTGGATTCTTCATGTCCCCTTTTTTCTCTTTCCAAATTTATTTCACTGGATTATACTCCTCGAATAACTTCTTCGAACTCCAATGTTTTCGATTACTGCTTGTTAGGATAGTCGGAAAAATATACCAATAATTATCGTGTTAAGTCTATGGTGGCCTTGGACCTTAAATGTACATTTCTTATTGGTCGATGTTTATTTCACTTGTTAAATATTTTGTAAATGTTGTTTCCTATTTTATGGTTTGTTTGGTTAGTATATAAATAGAGTATGTGTGAAATACAATGATTCATAACTCAGAGGCTGTGACTTGTGTTCCTGACTCAACTGGCTGGGACAGACTGCGAAGCGGGACCAATCAGGGCTCTAGGTCGTCCGTTACGTGTTTACGTGTCCACTACGCTGCTAATCAAAACGTGCAAGTCCACCCGTTACAACACTGCTTATGCTTTTCTTACCTCTACCATTATTGGATTCGAATCGACAATTTTATCTGTGTGCTAATGTGATATGTACGTACGTACGAAATTCTACGTTGTTACTGACTGGCTGACTGACTGACTGATATGAATAGGGGCACATAGCGACAAATTATAACAAACAAACACATATATACTTACTTCATTCTCTTGATCTTTCATTGTTTCACGTAGATCATTATATTTTTCAAACCAATTATCCGATTTTTCAAAACTACTCAAAACACGTAAATCACGTAGAATTTGTTTTAATTGTTTATCTGTATCGCGTAATTTTAATTTTAATTTGTCATTTTCTTTTAGCGCCATTTCAAATTTTTCTTTATATTCATCATTATTCAATGGTGATTCTATTGTAGTTTTTTGTATAATTTGAGAATTTGATTCATCATTATCTATCGGGAAAGTTTCTTTACTGGACAAATTACCTTAAATTAATATAAATGTATACATATTAGTTTAGGAAGTAATTTACTGTATTTATTTAAACACATAAACATTGACACAAGGAGGCATCAAATAGTTATGCGCCATACAGAACTCATTTGATATGTGTGAGGATTGAGATACTGCCCGGGTGCCTAAACCAAAGCAGATGATTTTCTTAGTAAGCCACATTCGGATCCTTCGACTTAAAAGTCTGATCCACAAGGTAGTGGAGCAACGTCAGAAGATATAGTCACATGGTAGCCCGGTGTAGTGTCAGTCATTATGTTAAACCCATCTACCTTATTCTAAGTTTCGGACAGTTCAATCTATTCATTCTACTTGAGTCATATTTTGACCTTGTTAATTATTCGCTTATCAGTCTTGACTACTTTTATATGAGCGTATATGTGTGTACACTTCATATCCCATGTCTGATCACATGTCTGTAGTTTATTTTGTCTGCCTATAAATACTGAGTAACGCCTGGCTAGTAATGAGTTAGATTGCCAGCCATCTCCACTGCGCGGCATTTTGCTTTGTTCTATTACATTCACTTTACATACAAAATATATGTACTCAAAGGCCATTCTCGTTAATTGACTTATCTAAACTCCGTTATTGACTAACCTGATTTAAGTCGATGATTGTATACTAGGATAGGTGATAAATAACATTCTTACGATCTTAATGGAGTCATATCCATGGGCCACTAAACCGGTAACCTTACAATAGGTTCATACATCATTTATTAAGAATCGATATTAAAGTCTTAAGTTCGAATCCCGTTTCAATCATTTTATTTAAGAAATCATGAATATGAATGAACAAATAAATTGAAATGAACTAACTTGATTCATTATTGGGAATATTTTGTGATAAACGATTTGTCATTGTAATTGATCTTAGTTCATTATCTATATTCAGTTTAGTTTTGATTCGTTCAGCTACTCCAGTTAATAAAGTTTTAGTTGATTCTAAATGAATAGTTGAATTAGTATTATTACATGATGGACTAATTGATGGTACAGTTTGTTGTTCTTCAGTATTTCCAATTAATCGATTTTCACGTGACTATCAATGAAAATGGATAATTCATAGAATAATGATCAATTAGGTATTTTAAAGATAAGACTCATTTTTATATAGTTGACAACTAATGATTTATAAAAGAAAAGTAATTGATGTTTCCACTTCTTCTTTATACATTTCCTTACGCCTGTTACTCCTAATGGAGCATAGGTCACCGACCAGCATTCTCCAACCCAATCTGTCCTAGACCTTCCTTTATACTTCTATCCTATTCTGTCCATTCTTCCATTGTCTGTCTCTATTTCTCAGCGTAAAGTGTTCTTTGATCTTCCTCTTTTCCTTTGTCCTGGTGGATTCCATGTGAGCGCTTGCCTTGTGGCACAGTCGGGTGCTTTCCTCAATGTGTGTAATATCCACTTCCAGCTCTTCTTTCTCATTTCTTCATCCATTGGAATCTGATTTGTTGTCGTTGATAGTGTGTGATGAACGTATCCGAAGTATTTTGCGTAGACAAGTGTTAATAAACACTTGTATCTTCTGGATGATGACTTTCGTAATTCTCCAGGTTTCCGCCCCATACAGTAGAACTGTATTGACATTTGTATTGACAATCCTGTTCTTTATATAACAAAGATGAAACTGGATAATTAAATAATGAGTTGCTTTTTATAGCTTACAAATTAATATACTATTGAGAATCAGGAAGCACTACAACAGAGATTGAATCTAGAAATCTTTAAATGTTATTGTGAACGACTAAACATAAAGATCAGTTAGTCAGAGTTGAATGGTACAATTATAACTTCAATCAATTTGAATGATAATTGTTCGATATGTCTGAACTTCATGAGTTAAGTAGTTATATTCGAACTTCAAGAGACTATTAAGTAAACTCTTGCATTCTAATTGAAAAGGGTTTTTCAAATAATGTTGATCGATAAGGTTCTATGAACATTTGGAAATAGATGTATTTTACATTTACTTCTAAATGAAATGAGCAAGAACAAAGATTCTAGCAGAATTGCATGAATTTATTTCTATTTCGTAGGCTCTCGTCAGCTGCTTACAACCTGTGATATTTAAAAAAAATCATAATTACATAATGCGTTTAAATTGCTTACTGAATATTGGAAATATATATACCTTATGTGAAAGACTATTTTACAAGATTAATTGTGACAACAGTTCAAAAGTGGGTTAGAAACAATTGATGAACATAATGAATAAACATTGATAGGAATATAGTGAGTAGAGTTCAGTTGAAAGATAGTTGAAAAAAAATTATCACATTTGATTGATAGCGGTCATATAGTGGACAGAAACAAGTCGTTCAAAGTTATTTATCGTATTCCCATTAGTTTTCCTTATGGTGTTCGATCTTGTCTCTTACACATAGCAGAAGCTATAGGAATCTGAGCCAATAAGCTAAGCCTTTGTGTTCAAAGAAATTTGTAACACCCTTATCTCTCCCTTGGCCTTAAGTAATAAATGAATTTATTTATTTATTTACTCCTTTTCTAACTTTCTCTTCGTTTATTATTTTTCTTCACACCCTCCTACCACTTTATTTCTCTCAACTATACGTTTCATGGTCCAATTATCTGAACATTTCTTATTACGTCATCTTATAATCTTCATAAATGTTATCTCACTCTCTATATTTTTCTAATCACTGACCTATTTCAGATTATGTAACATTGATTTGAACCTTTATTATTATTGCTTATCAAAAACTAATGCACCTATTGTCACACCATCAATTTGTAATTTTCACATTTTACTTATTATGTAATCTTTTCCATTGTTATCATTGACTTATAAACTACCTTGACTAGTTTAATAATTTTCATATATGCATATAAATATTACTGTATATTAGAGTAAAGCCTGATGAGGATCTAATCGAAAACACTATTGATCGCTAATATCTATGTTGTTCCAAAAAAAATTATAATCAATGATGTAATAAATACAAACGAAAAAAGGAAAAGATTTTTATGGTGAAGCGAAAGAATATTTGTCACCAAGGCAAGGAAAGATTAACCACCGTCTCCTGAATACATAGGTCAGGTTTTTGACGCCTGATGGCAACGGCTTCAGTAAACTTCAGAAGACTGGAGTTTGGCTGCTTACTAATCACCCTAAAGGATTGTAAGATATCTACCTGATGTCCTGTATCAAGGAGATGTTTGTTGATTGCACTGTTCAGAGTCTTTCTTTCCCTTGTTCTAAGACTTTTTCGAACATGTTCAAAGAATCTAAGATATGCTCTCCTTTCAGTTTGGCCGTTGTAGATGCTTTGGCAGGTACACGTATATTTATAAATACAGTTGGCGGTAACATGAAAGGGTTGCTTGTCGATCTTTGATTGGGTTATTGAGCATTGTTTCTAACCCACTTTTGAAATGCTGTCACAATTAATCTTGTAAAATATTCTTTCACATAAGGTATATATATTTCCAATATTCAGTAAGCAATTTAAACCCATTATGTAATTATGATTTTTTTAAATATCACAGGTTGTAAGCAGCTGACGAGAGCCTATGAAATAGAAATGAATTCATGCTATTCTGCTAAAATATTTGTTCTTGCTCTTTTCAAAATGATAAAGGGAACGATGTGTATGATACTTCTAAATGGTCAATCAGTTTATAAACCTCATGCTTTCAAAAGGTTGTTCTAGACCCAAATGATCCAGTAATAGTACATTTAACTAATACTGAGTAATATGGGTTCAAACCTCAAAGGGAATTATAAATTACATTAAGATTATAATTGCAGCTCACTGACTACTTCTGATTAGAATGGCAGATCTAGATCAAGCAGAACGTCCTATATAGAAAAACTTCAACATTTTTAAAGTGTAATATCGAAATTTCAGTTTATTAGTTTACTTGTAATGAAACAATTTTTCCCATCTTTTTAGATAATATATCATTTTCTGCTTGTGATTCTTTTAATCGTCTTTTCACTTTTCTTATTTCTTCTTCAGCAAAACGTAATTGTTCTGATAAATCAGTTTCACGTTCTCTAGCTGCTTCTAAATCACGTACAATTTGATGTTCTTCAAAAGATTCTTCACGTGACAATGAAACACTTTGTCTAGACTAAACAACAACAAAAAAAAGTGATTAATGTAAACAATATGGATTCAGGACATATCGGTTTCGAGCGTTATATATATTGCTTTTATTTTGATTGGTTAATAATTTATTGAATAATAAATCAATAATGACACGCTTTTTCTATTGGTTAATTAATAATATAAATGATAAGATTTTATTTTTCAGTGTAGAATGTGAATTTTGATTTCATTAGTTAAATTCATAAATTGACATAAGCTAGAAGCATTAGACAGCCATTACATTTTAATATGGAACTACTCAACGATGGGCATCTACGATCTCGTACCAAAGGAGACTCGAACCCAGACCCTACCATCTCATGAGAGAACACTTAAGCTTTAGACCACTAGATTCAAGATGATTTACTGGAGTTCTAGTGAGAAGCCGTGAACAGTAGAATCCAATCCTTGTCGGATAGAGACAGGTATATGCCTCAGACAATAGATAAATGGTTGTTCAACCATTTAATAATTGATGAGAGTTAGACATTAACACCATTGTATGCCAAGCCAGTGGTCTAAGGGCTTGGCGTTCGCGCGCGAGATTTGAGGTCCTAGGTCCTGGGAAGATAATGAGTTTATAAACCTCCGCCATTGGGATCGATCCTGAGCCATATCACCCAGTCTCCAATCACTGGTTACGATAGTCGAGCCGGACCCCAACCATGCATTCTGCATTTATCAACACCATTCAGACTAAAAGTTAGTGACTTCAAGCACTGATGCCACATTTTAGTTTGGCCGCCCCTAACTTTCTTCCATCCAACTCTAACGCTAGTCAGCATTGCGCGTCGTGGTAATCGGTGTTCAGGCATACGTAACACGTGACCCAACCATCTCAGTCGATGAATATTTACAACTTCATCAATTGATTTCCCACCATTCCCGAATACTCGGCGTCTAACCTCACTATTACTCATCAAGTGATCCCAGCAGATGGGAGCAATAGTTCCCAGTCATCAGTGGTCAAATACTTGTAGCTTACGAGTATCTTCTACTCTTAATGGCCACGTTTCGCTGCTGTAAAATAGAACAGAACGAACTGTCGCGCAGTATACTCGTTCCTTAATTGATAGAAGGATATATCGCCTTCCCCATAGGTGACGTAAATTGGCAAAGGCCAAACGAGCTTTCCGAATCCGTACAGAGATTTCTTCGGATACCAACCCATTAGTGTTAATCAGACTTCCAAGATAAGTGAAGTGTAATTGTATTATTTATGTCTAAATAATACAACTTTAAATACACTGATTATATTCTGTATTTTTACAAACTTTAAACAACTCTGTGAACTTAAATGTATCTATTAAAATTTACTACGATACATTCGTAATAATCAGACATATGTTCGTGTGAGGAAGCCAAATGTTATTAAACAAAGATGAAGAATGACTAGCAGTGAAATCCAGTTTGACGCGCGTTCCGTCCTATTTGGGGTGTACCTACATCTCAGAGTTAATTTTCATTCTCGGACTCGAACTCAGTATCATTCGCTTCCAACGCCATCGCATCATTCACTTAATTACTGAGTCCTGATAGCCACCTGCTTGTGCAATGGGTTGAAGTGTTAAATTCACTGGGTGTTGTTTATTTGTATCGCACAGGATGTACATATACCAACAAGAAACTGATCATTTGCAGTTCTAAATAACAATAGAACGATACAAGTAAACAACACCAAGTGAATTGAAAAGGTTATTAGTTAAAAAGAAGGAAATATTTTAGAACTGAAGACCTACAGTTTGCTAAGAAAGCTTGAAATCAGTTGATTATTCTGTAAAAATCTAATGGTTAACTTTTTGTTTCGTCCATAAACTCAAATATCTTGGATTTAAGTTGTTAAAACTGTTCACATATTGTCTACGAATAGCTGATACGATAATATAATTGATCGAATCGATTCACATCGTTCGAACCCGAAAATTGCAGATAGAAATTATTGTTAGAAAGATCTTAATGAATAAATTACAAAGTACTCATAAATTATTCACATACTAACATTTACGACGTTAGTGTTTTCTTAGCCAGGCTGTTTTCTATGGGATGGGGTTACTGACCCCATGCCCAACCCTCCTCCTTCATCTGGGCTTGGAAACGTCAGTAACCACAAAGGGGCTCTAGGCTCCAAAATAGTATCTTGATTTTTAAAAAAATGCTGTGAATTTAATAAACAGTTGTAATGTGCAATTGAGAAAAATAGAAATTAAACTAAAAAATTATAATTAAATATTACATACTCTATTTTTATCCGTAACTTGTAATGGTCCTTTGTCAATAGCACCTTTTTCATTTTTCAATTTATCAAACTGGATACAAACAAAAAATAGAGTACAACAGCAATGACAACGACAACAACAAAAAAGAAGGGACTAATCGAGTGAAGAAATTTTTTTTCAATTAGTTTTTCATCATGGTTCTTACTTATTTAGGCATGTCAATCTCACTGGAGCATAGACCACCGACCAGGATTCTCCAACCCAATCTGTCCTGGACCTTCCTTTATACTTCTATCCTATTTTGTTCGTTCTTCCATTGTCTGTCTCCATTTCTCAGCGTAACGTGTTCTTTGGTCTTCCTCTTTTCCTTTGGCCTTGTGGATTCCATGTGAGTGCTTGCCTTGTGGCACAGTTGGGTGCTTTCCTCAATGTGTGCATTTCCACTTCCAGCGCTTCTTCTTAGTTTCTTCCTCCAGTGGGATCTGGTTTGTTCTCTCCCACAGTTGGTTGTCGTTGATAGTGTGTGATGAACGTATCAGAAGTATTGTGCTTAGACAACTGTTAATAAACACTTGTATCTTCTGGATGATGACTTTCGTAATTCTCCAGGTTTCCGCCCCATACATTAGAACTGTATTGACATTTGTATTGAAAATTCTGACCTTGGTGTTGCTTGACAAACAGTTGTTTTAAGTTCCAGATGTCCCTCAGTTGTAAATATGCTGCTCTCGCTTTTCCGATTCATGCCTTCACATCTGCATCAAATCCACCGTGTTCATCAATGATGCTGCCCAAATATGTGAAGGATTTTACATCTTCCAAATCTTCTCCATCAAGTGTGATTCGATTGTTGCATACTGTGTTGTATCAGAGAACCTTGCTTTTCCCTTTGTGTATGTTGAGACCTACTGTTGTTGAGGTTGTTGCTACACTGGTCTTCTTCTCCTGTATTTGTTGGTGCGTGTGCGATGGAGGAGCGAGATCATCTACGAAGTGTAGATCGTCCAACTGCATCCTAGATGTCCATCGTATCCTTTGCTTCTCCTCAGATGTTGACGTCTTGATGATCCAGCCGATCACCAGGAGAAGGAGAAATTGTGAGAGTAAGCAACCTTGTCTGACAACAGTCTTTACCTTGGACGAGTCTCTCAATTGCACGATTTTCCAGTTTAATCCATCATAGGAATTCCGCAGGTACGACGTAGTGTCGAAGAAGCTCCCTCAGTGTTGCCTAATCCTCGCTGTTCTTTCTCGTAGTCAGTGAAGTTGATGTAGAGTGACGAATTCCATTCAACTGATTGTTCCACAGTGATCCGTAGTGTTGCGATTTTGTCTGTATACGGTCGATCCTTACGAAATCCAGCATATCATTGCTTTACACTAATGTAAATGTATATATATATATATATATATATAATATATAATATATATATATATGATTTGCAATAATGAAATAATACTCATCGAATAGATTAGTTACGTAATAATTACATAATGACATTTCGATTTTAAATTAATATTGAGTAATTGGAACAAAGAGGATTAATAATAATCAAAGTAATTTTTCTAAAATCAGGCAGTTGCTACGTTGCATTATATATATAAAAGGAGAAGAAGGAACTAACAGAATATTTTAGTGAATGGTGAGTAGTATAGTTGTTATGTAAGAATCAAGAGAAGAATTTTGAGAAGAAATTACGAACGTCCCTATACCGATGGCCAAGTTAGCGAAAGTGGTTTTACAAACTTCTTTTGGATACAAAGGTTAGGCTTGTAAAAATTGATTACAATGACTTCAGCAATTTGCAAAAGACTCACTCGTAAACCATGTGGCAAATTAGACAGTATATGGTAGATAACATTAAAAGTCTTAGTCAGTTCAACATGATGACCTGTATCAACCAAGTGAGTGAGAATAGAACTCTTAATCACTTTTACCTATACTTGATAAGTGAGATTAAGAGTCAACTGAAGCTAGACCAGTATGGAAAACCTGAAAACACTGGACGTCTGTTTCGTCCTATTGTGGGACTCCTCAGCAGTGCGTACATTATAGATTTTCAAAATTAAAAAAATCGATTTTTTTTTCATCCACTGATTTTTTCATTTTTATGACTTTTAGGGTTTCTTTTAGAAAATATTGCAATGTCTTCAAATAAGATCAATTTGTCAAGATTCTAATTTAAAACCAAATGGTGATAATAATTTTTTTGTTTTGTTCTAAGATCATTGTTTCCTATAACTATGAAATACTACTACTTGTTACTAACTGCAACAGGATGAAAGTATTTTGGATGAATGTAAGGAAAGAAAACATGTTTGTAGAATTAGATTGATTGATTTATTCACTAACTACTAATTAAATGATGTCTACATAAATCATAATAAAATACGTAATAATCAAGCAATAAATAGGAAAACCTGGAAGAACCATATGAATGTTTTGTCCTATTATGGCATTTCTCATCAGTACGCATCCACTATCCTGCACAAGGAATTCGAATCCAGGACATTTTTATTTATATATATATGTGAATACATAAACATTGGTGCAAGGAGGTGCCAAATAGATATGTGCCACATAAATAATTTGATTTGTGTGAGGGCTAGGCTACTGCCCCGGTGCCCAAAACGAACCAGATGGTTTTCTTGAGGGCTACACTAGGAGCCTTCACCTAAATGTCTGATTCAACATTACGAGATAAAGTCACATCGTAGCTGGTGACCAATAATTGGTTCATACGCCGTTTGTTCCGTCAGGATCCTGGAATGCATGAGCACCATTGGTCTAGAATCAAGGTTTTCTGACTTCTCCAAGTGGACCCTACCTGTCCTCCAACCCGGTTAAAGTGCCAGACATTCGCTCTTCGTCCTCGCAATTTCGTGAACAACAGTAATGCCACGAGGATGCAGTGATTAGGACGTCCATAACAGTAGCTGTATACGCGTGGCCGTGTGAGATAATTTCAAGAGGGAGAGCATGCTCTCTCTATCCTCGGCCGTAATAGGACCTAACGGTTTCGCAGGCGAATGCTTAACTTCTAGAACAATGAGCCGACATCCAACGGTGTTAATGTATAACTTTAACCAATCCACGAAATTGCAAAACCGATAGGTCTCGGTTTCAATTCTTTAGGGCGGGATCGTGGATGCTCACTGCTGAGGAGTCAAAACAGCCGTCTAGTGCTTGTATGTTTTCCATGGTGGTTTAGCTTTAATTGACTCATGAATTCAACTATTAAATTACTAGAATCTCTACAAAACCCCCTTCTGATAAAACTATGAATGAATTGAGTTAACTTTTGATCAATAATCGAATAGGAACTCAATAAAATACCTGACTTGACTGAGATATGTAATTTATACCTAGATTATATAGTTATCTTCTCTACAACAAATATGAATCTGGATTTTCCTCACTATAATGATGAGAGAAGAAGGACTGAGACTATTCATTCCTAATCACTTCACTCACGTACTAGAATGGGTTTGGGTATATGTTGCATGTAAGTCTGTATCTGATCCAGCGATCACAGAAAGCAACACTTAGTTTGGAGAAAGTTTATTATATAAGATGAATGTTCAATAATGTTATTTGAAAAAAACAAAAGAAAACTTACTTCAAGTTTAAGTCTTCCTAATTCATTTTCTACAGCAATTCGTTTATTTTGTGATGTTTGTAATTCTTCATTGAGTTGACGATTTTCTTCTTCATAATAAACACGTTTCTCGTCTAATAAATCTAATTCATTATTTAAACGTACACCAACTTCTTTGGCTACACGTAATTCCTCCTAGAGTTAGATATTAAAAGAGAGGAACATTCAATACATAGATAATCTTGTATTGAATGACTACTATTTCATTGGCTACTTTTCTAGATGTTTATAGTTACCTGTTTCATATCTCAATGTACTGTATTACTTCATCTGATGAAGAACAAACTATACATTTTGAAAGCTAAATGTCAATATTAAATTTATTAACATGACTTGTATATACATTAATTGATCATTGAATTGTAGTCAATTTCATGTTTATCTAGTCATTAGCTCGGATCACTCTCTATTGCCTAATTTCCCTTGTGATAATTCATTTAAGTGATGCTGGTAGGTGGGTGATTCGTTGGTAGTAGTCGCAGTTAAAATTAGTCAATGGCAGTGTGCTATTACTGTTCAAATCTATGGCATAGATCTAAATCTTACTGTGAGGAACTTGATTACGATGGTCAACCAGTATGTAACTGAGGCTTTGAACTTTCTATCAATCCCCTTCCCGAATACTTGAGGTCAAACAAAACGTATCACACTGCCGAGCCCTTTGAACAAACGGTCACGCTACTAATCGATCTAAACGATATGTAAGTAATATGATATTCAATGCACCTGATTATCTAGTTTTTCAAAGGTATTCAGTAGTACGGAAAGTATTTTGGGGTTGAAATAGTTAAGTAGAAGTGTCTCGAACTGTAACATCAGAAGAAACAAGTCTAAATCTATGTAGTTTCATATTATTTCAATCGAATTTTGTCGACAAATCTTAATTAGCGAATAATTAGAGCTCAGGACTTCAAGTCTGTTGCTTTCAATAGTTTAATGTTAATTCCACAATTGAAGGAAACTGTTTAGAAAACTAATAAGATGCTCAGGACAAATTTTATAAATGAGTCTGTATCGGTTTTTGAATGTCAAAACGATTATGGATTACTGGAGCATAAGTCTAAAAGAAAAAATATATAACAAGTGAGCTGATACGTCATTTTTTTCTGGTTAACATTACTTCGGTAAGGTTCTTTTTAACTAATTGAGATTAGTAACAACATCCCCAACTCTTCTTGTTTACCAGGGCTTGAGACTTGCAATAACCTTAGTACGGCTATATGCATAGCTGAAAAATTATAGATTAACAGAACTAGTACATAAATTCGAACTACGTTAGTTAATTAAGTCAAATATCATGTACATACTGATCCATAGCTCAGAAGTGGGTTTTTACAAAATCTAGTATCCTATGGGATAACCATATCAAAAATGGGACGGATATTCATTGAACTTTTTCGTGAATCTTACAAGGTTTATAAAGACTCAATAGATGAACTGCATTTCTCTTTAGAAGAGATATCATGGTTGTGAGTTCCATGCTGCATGGTATATAAAGATATATGAATGTTTAGCTTGAAAGATGGGTGTTCAAAGTATGGTTGAGGTGTTCCTGAAGGTAGGGATGTCATAATATATTATGGATTAATTTTAGCACATAATGCTGAATTATGTATTCTTCTAATTTATCAGTCTTTTGAAGTTATATAAATTACTGAATGACTGCCTGAATGCAGAAATGTTATCATGTTCAAAGTATGAAAATTATGATTCTTGTATAAAAATTCATTTTAGATCCGATGTTACTTCTGATATTAGTTAACAGTAGAATCTACAATGTGCATTTCTTCCCGTTTTTGTATGGACTTGTCATTGTTTAATGTTGTTAGGTTTGAAGCTAACACGAGTTCACTTGATCTGCGAACGAGAACAAAGGCTCAGTGACCAAGACCAGTAAGCTAGTTATTTGATGCGTCCAAGCTCCGCTAACTAGAGGGAGAAGTCCAAGCTTGAAATAGGAAAGTATATTCTGCAAACAGCTAGAAACGAGCGATCACAACAAACACAATTCAAAACGTATATATACAGTGTAAAACCGTCCTTGGGGTGAGTTACCAAATAGCATACTAAAAGACGCAACGGACCAATAGCATTTCAGATATTTCCCGATGGGAAATACGACATGAAGGTGACAAGAGCGCCTTTGGCCAAAATTAGGTCCTTTCTTAAGTGAATTCTGGGGATCTAACGTCCCCGACAAATGTTCACAGTGAATGGTGTTATTCACCAAGTTAACAAATAACAATAACTATCAACTTGTTTAATATGAACAATGGATATAAAAGATTATTGAATGAAAAAATGACAATATTGTTAACATCGTAATTCCAGTGTTTGATTCTTGTTTCTTAGGAAAACAAATATTCTGTTATTTTATACATATCTCCATAACCATTGCTTTTTAATACTGTGGTGTTTGCTACTGATGTCGACAGATATAAGTAGTATGTATCATCAATCAAAAGTGAACCGTTTGGAGGCAGAAGGTTAACAAGATCGAATGAAAGAGAACGAAAATAGAGAATGATTGGTGAGGAGACAAATGAACAATAAAGTCTGAGACAATTCATTGACATTTTGGAAATGGACTATTTACTGTATGGTTATCAGATTTTACTAAGAGATTTTGTAATTTTGGATTGGAATGCATTTAGTTTGTCTCGCACTTGTGTTCTATGCTGATCACAGAACGACTGAAAAGTCTATTCATGAAGAACATTTTAAAATGAATGTTGATTGCTTTATCAACTAAATGAAATTCGAAGTGTAAGCTAATAACAGATAAACCACTGATTATAATGTAACTCATTCGCTATGGCTCCTAAACATTTTATGATCGATCGCTAGTGCAACCGTAGGTTCACATTAATGAGGAGCCTTAAACAATTGTCCAGCGTTATAATGATTTCAAAAACGGTTATCTATCTACGATGTGTGCTAATGATATCGACAGATATAAGTAGTATATATCACCAATCGAAAGTGAAATATCTGACGGAACAAGGTTAAGAAGACCAAAGAAAAGAGAATGAGAACAAAGAATCGTTGCTATGGAAATGAAGGGACAATGAAGTCTGAGACAGTTGATCGACATTTCACAAATGAAGTATTTACTGTATTTCCACTATTTTGATAAATTTTAAAACCAATTTTGCTTTTATACCAAAAAAAGAAAAATAAATAAATAAAAAATAATTTCAATTTTGTCAATTGCCATGTGATTTTCAATAGTCAATAATAAATCACTTAGAAAACATCAGAATTTATTGTACTGACCATTGGACAATTAGTTCATTTATTTATTGAATATATACAATTGACATTACTGAAATCTCATGCTGTTCTTTGATATTTCACTTCAACTATTTATGGTATCTGGGTGTTTACTGATATTGTTCCTACTTCAACCCCCAACCACCCAAATGTCCTGATATGGCCGAGGGTGAGGAGATTATGCTTTTTCTCTTGAAAATATCTCACATTGCCACACGTATACAGTCACTGCTTTTTCATGGGAGTGTTGTCTACGAGATTGAGATGAAGAAAACCGAATGTTCAGAGCTTTAACCGGGTTGGTGGACACGAATGGTCCAACTAGTGGAGTTGGAAAATTTTAATTCCAAACCAATCGTGCACATGCGCTTCAGGATCCTGACGGAAAAAATGGCGTATGAACCAATTATTGGTCACCGACTACCATGTGACTGCATCTCCTAACGTTGCTCAACTACCTTGTAGATCAGACCTTTAGGTCAAAAGCTTCGGTTGTGGCTCCCCAAGAAAACTATCTGGTTCGGTTTGGCCACCCGGACCATCTCACAGCCTTCATACAAATCGAACGATCTGTGTGGCGCATATGTATTCGGTGCCCCTTTGTACCAATATTTATGTTTAAATAAATAAAAACTGTACTGATAATCGACTGCCTTTAGAAATTATATTTCATGTGCTTTCCACTTACTAACTAATGAACTATTTAATTCATAGTAAATTACTTGAAAGGAATAACTTCAGTGTTTTTCTTTTAACTAGATTTGTGAGTTGTCGAATCATGACAAATTTTCTGAAAGTCAAACGATGACATTTAATTCATGTTTCATTGAAGATTATTGACAAATGAAAAGCTTCTTTAGGTTTACATATAGTTGTAGTTACGTTAATTAATTAGCTTTCTAATTAAGGATGTAATGGATAATTATTAGAGTTTTGTGAATGTCGGTTCACGTTTCAGATCCTATTCACCACAGAATGATCTCAGTGGTGGTATAGTAGTAAAAAACACAAGTGGGTACAACCAAATATACTTCAATACAACATTAGAGAATGTCCTCGTAAAACCTGAGAACCATACAGTAAAATATCTATCAATCGTCTCAGACTTAATTGTTCTTTCGTTTCTATTCCAATCACTGTCTATTGTCATTCACTTCTCTTCGATCTTCTCAACCTTCTGCTGCCAGATATTCCACTTTTGATTAATGATACATACTGTTATTATCTGTCGACATCAGTAGCATACATCATAGTGGAATTGCCTCTGAAAACTAGAAAGCATCACATAGTTATTTCATATTTACATTTGACTGAATAACAGTGGGTACCCGTAATCGCTTCAGGGATCACATGCAAAACTTTCAGGTCTCTTGGTGAATACCTAAACATCAGAACTACTAGATCATGATATTATCCCCAAATGTTATCAAGTTGTAACATATAACTATGATCATCTGATCCTACTGATAACAGTCATTTTACTCTCCATATATCTGAAGTCCACTAGTTCACTAGGACTTTGATTGTTAGTTTTAAATATTACGTAATTGTTTTCTTCTTGGGATTGAAAATATCAATCCTAATATTAAAAAAACATGACGTTTACAAATGTCTGCAGAGTGCCTTGAATGTAGTTTTGTTTTCTTATTCAACACTTATTAACAATGGAATATATCCGGTCTCCTGGAAAATGAATACCTACTTAATTATTTACTTATGCCTGTCACACCCCGTGGAGGAGTATAGACCGCCTATCTGGAAAATGATAGGAAACATTAATTCCGTCAATATGATAGGCAGGGTTTTGTGACTTACTTTCAACCAGAATTAACCCCGTAAACACATAACATCGAACAAGTGTACTGTGATATTGACTTAGATAAATAAAGTCAGTGCATTATGACCTATTCGATAGAATTGCATTAGATCCGAGTAATGGTAACTACCAAGTGATCTATCATTATGTACAACTGTGTAAGAATAAGGTTTACCATTTAATAATAACAATATATGACAATATTTATAACTTAAAATCCATTAATATTATAACCGTTTACCTCTAAATTATGTATATGTGCTACATCTGCTTCACTATATAATTCCGATTCTAGTCTTGCTAATCGTTCTTCTAAATTAGCTCGTTCCGCTTCACATTGTTCAAAACGTCTTTCAGCTTTACGTAATTTAAATTGTAATATTCTACAAGCTTTATTAGCTGCTTCTAGATCACGTTGAAGTTCACGTACAGCATCACGATCCTCTTCCTATTATAAGATTAATATATAAAAGAAATTAAGATTTTTGTAAACATTTCAAATACGACAATACATATGTTATATATAATATACCCTTGTGGACCATGGTAATTTGACATTGATTTTCAGGAGAATCAGACACCATTCAGACTTTAACGTGACAACCCAAACAGTACAACTTAATCCTGTTTAACAGGAGAACCAGACACTTTATAGGCTTTAACGCTACAATCTGACTAGTAGAGCTCAATCCTGTTGCGTGACCACACAGGAACCAAGCAGTCTGGTAAATCAACAATACATTTGTACATATACAAATTAAATTATAATTATCACCTATCTACTAGGTTAAGTCAGATATATCAAGTCATTGTGCTCATATGTTTTTTTTCAAGGCTAAGCGGTCAGTATAAGATGCCAAACAAGTTGTGTTACTAAACGAAACCTAAATAACAAAACTGTAAAGCTTAGGGGTTGATATATTGGTTATTTAAGATAAGAGTTGGATACAAACTAACAAAGCCTTTTCACTAAAATCACTTTATCCTTCAGTTGTGAATCGTGTATATATGTTGAAGTTACTTCAATCAATTTGATTTGTAGTGGTTTGGATTATCATAACGTCAATGTTTTTGATTGAATTTTGATTAGCCTTAGTTGTTGGAAATGGTTAGGACATATATTACGCAAATCATCAAACTGCATCACGAGGTAAGCCCTAACTTGCAATCCTGAAGGGAAGCGGAATAGAGGAAGGCTAAAGAACACACTACGTCGGGAAATAGAAGCAGATATAAAAAGGATGAATAACAACTTGAAGGAATTGGAAAGGATTGCCCAGGACAGGGTTGGATGGAGAACGCTGGTAAGCGGCCTATGCTCCTTTAGGAGGAGTAACAGGCGTAATTTAGTTGTTATATGTGTATATGTTCAGGTAAATCCGGGTTATGTGTCCCAAATAGAATGAAACTGACATCCTGGATTTCATTGCTAACCACATTGCACTTGTTCTACGGATACTTCAATTAATATTTTAAAACTTATACAATCCATATAATCTTTCAATAAATTGTTATGTATTCATGCATATTACTGAATAACTATGTTTAGTTGATACATTAGTGTATATAAAATATGGATTAATTCACAAGAATTCATGTCTTCCAGTCAGACTAAATTGTTAAATGCAAATAATAACATTTTAGTCTGTTACGTAATATATTGGTTCTTTAAAATATATTATGGAATCCATGATTCGCATTTTGCCGTATTCGGGATATATCGATTGTATATACCTGGATTCTAGTGTTGATGCTTACATGGAAACTTGCGGTGACGTGGAATTGAGATGTTAATCGATATCATATGCCAAAATTACCGATTGAAATCATGATCTGACATGCATGGTTAACCTAAGCTCAGACTGATCTCCTATCATCAAACTCTCACCTATCTTCTGTCTTAAGTCCAAAGACAGTTCACTGACTAAACTCTATTGGAATATATTTTCATCACATGTGGGTTTACATATAGACATACTGGACCATATTATAATTTTGAAAATCGAATTTATACATAAATAAGATAAAAGTGGCTGTGAATAGGACAAGCTGTGGATGATGGGTTAGCAACAAAATAATAATAATAATAATAATAATAATAATAATAATAATAATAAACGGCATAATGATCAATGATGGGTAATGGGAAAATTTATGATAAACTGAATACATAAACATAATAATCCAATCACTTAGCAACTATAATGATAATAATTTGTAAAACGGTTCTAGGCATCTCAACTATTCCTATAGTATTCCTGTTACAATAATAACCATGTAATTGCATTTAAATTCGTACATTTTCTGATTTCATAAAAACAAAATTTGTTTATCTAACTAAAGACATTTTAGTAGAATAGATTATTTGTTAACTAGTTGATAAACATTTTACTATATACTAAGCAAAGATAGATAGTGGCTAGCAGTGTAATCCAGGCAATATGCACAGGATGCACATATGCTAATAAAAGAATAATCAATTGCAATCCTAAGCATCAATGGGAAGATTCATGTGAACAATACTAAGTGGATTTAAACTTCACCCCATTGCACACGCAAGTAGCTATCATGACTCAGTAGTTAAGTGGATAACGCTATAGCGTTTAAAGCAAACGGTACTGGGTTCAAGTTTGGGAGTAAATATTAACTCTGAGATGCAATACATCCAGTTGACGAGTCCCAAATAGGACGAAACGCGCATCAGACTTGATTCCACTACTATTCCACCACTATCCATCTTTGCTTACAATCCTTGTGATTTAAGACTATATCGAGGCACACACACAGTATACACATATGCCAACAAGAAACTGATCAATCGCAATCCTAACACATCATGGGAAGATGTAAGTAAACAATACCAAGTGAATTTTACTACTTATATTATATGTTGATAAAAAGATTCATTAGTGTATTATAAGTTTGATTATACAAAGTTTGTTTACCATAAAATGATTCACTCCTCTAATTTCTAAGCTTGAAACAATTTACCTTTATTTTTAAATGTTTATATACTGTATGTTCATTTATATTTGTGATTATTGGTTGTTTACCTATAAAACTATATTTATTCCTTTTTAAAGAAGATAACAGTTTGTTTTTCTCTATGGGATAAGTGAAACAAGAATTAGTTGTTTCATATGTCAATGTTTTTTTAAGGACATTCAACTACTTCAGATGGTCTATGATAACAAATAGTCTAACAAAGTATTAGTATTAATCATCTACATGAAAAGTGGGGTTTAGTTATATCAAGAATGATGTAACCAACCTTTATTTGGGACTGATTGATTGTTCTTTTATATTGCTAGCTTACTGAAGTTAGAAATATATGCGCCATTAGATATTAACCCAATGTTTAAGCATTGATCGTGTAACTTATTTGTATTAGGTTCGACTACTACCTAGTAAGATAAGAATTAGATGATTACCATTGAAATCTTGCTAGTTTATAAAGAACTTTATGCGATGTCATTTCTAGACAAAATAATAACCATCTAGACTTATTTGATCATTGGTTGAGATTATAACAAGCAGACATGTTAAATAGCATTGCGCAAGTGATACCTCTTTTCTTTACTATCCTGTACACATGTCTAAATTGAAGAGAATTTGTATTTTAAAAATTCATTCCATGAGTAGATCTAAGCTAGACCACCATTGAAAACCTGGAGGCACTAGACGACCTTTTCATCCTATTGTGGGACTTATCAGTAGCGTGCATTCATGATCCGACACTTGGAACTAGAACCTAGGACCTTCGATCTCGCGAGAAAAAATTCAAAAAAAACTTTAATAACAATGAAAAAATCACTTGAAAATGATCATGCATCTCTTCAATTTCTCGATGCATTTCTTCAACATCCTCTTTTAATTGTTCATTCTCTTCCATAACCTCTTGACATAATTGTTCCACTTCATTAAGACGTTGTTGAAGTTCTGCACTACAATGAATATCAGTAGGACCAATTGAATATTGTTGTTGTTGGTGTTGATGTTGTTCCAAAATGATTGTATTCGGTGAATGATTCTGATCACTTTCTGGAAGTTTTAAACGTTCTCTATAATGTTCAATAGAAAGATTTTATATCTATATAATCTTATTTTTATTTTATAAAAAGAAACAATAAATATACATTAGAAATTCAGAGGCAATGTTATGATCGTTGGTATCCGAGATCTAATACTGATACACGATGTGCTACGCACTAACTCCCTCTCTCAAACTGACTACTTGAGTGAGAAGACAAGAGTGAACGAGAAAGTTTATTGTGCTACAAAAACTATATTCATAAATACTCATTTATATACATACACTTCTATTGCTTAGCCAATGATATGCAATTGTCCTTCAGATCACTTCTGGTTACTTTCAAGTGACCTTCACATTTGGATACTTCTAATTGGCCAACTAAGTGGGCACTAATTATGACTATATTTCTTAATGATGGTTGGTTGACTGAATTTATTCATGTAAAATACAGTTTAGTTGAAAATCGTCAGTGAAACCCAGTAATAATGTCTGCTATGATCATGAAATGTGAAGAGCTAAGATATTTGTTATACAAGAAGGTAGTCAAGATAACTATCAACTATTTGACATTATATATTGTTTAACTAACTGACTTCGTCACCACTTTCTAGGTTTATTCACTAAAGAAAAGGGCAATGTAAGAAATATGTTGTCAAGTACTCCTTGTTGATGAGTCCTATATAACATGACACTTCGGTTCAGGATCTCTTGACAACTGTTTCCAATCATCTAACATGTCAACAATGTGTAGGTTATATTCAGTCACTTAGACTAGTGATCTCATTTTAACTTAATCGATAGAGTTTGATTATCAGTAAAGGATTAGATAAACATGATACTAGTCAGTACTAAGTGAATAAATAAGTGATCGTGTTTTAGACAACATTATTTTTGTTGCCTATCATAAGGAGTCACATCATTGCTAAATGATCGTCTATAAAACATGACCAGTTTTAATTAGATCCTCATAGAGATTTTCTAGAAATTGTATTATGGTCGTACTGAAATCTACGTGTGGACTAACTTTTTTTTTGATTTAAAAGATTCGGTTTCAATTCTCTGATAGACTTGAATTTTAATGTCATTTTAAAGAGCAAAATACTATCACTGAGCTGGCATCCAGTGGTGTTAATGTCTAGCTTCATCCAATCCACGAAGTTGCACCACCTTCACCATTGTCTTCAGTGAGCTGATATCTCACAACGTCACTGGTCACGGCTTCTCACTAGAACTCCAGAAGTGTCTCTTGAAGTCAGTCACTAGTGAGCAGATGATCAATACCAGAAGGGGTTTTGTGGAGATTTTAGTAATTTCAATAGCTGAAATCAGTCAGCTTTTTATAGTAGACTTCACCTTAGTTAAACAAATCATTGAAAATCAGGAAGCATTAAATAGTTGCTTTTCATTTACTATAAGACTTCTCATCACAGTACATCGAAGACTCTACAGGACGTCGAATCCAGAATCTCTAGATCTGATAAAAAATAAATATACAGAATGAACGCATATAAGCTGTTCTAACCTACTTTAAACTATGTTACTCATATACTTACTATTATTTCATAGAAATAAACCAAATCATCTACTTTGCTTGAACGAATCAAACCAAGAATCACTGATTCATTGAACAGATATTGTGTCTGACTGTATTTCTATGTTAACTAATATGACACAAGAGTAAGTAAAATGAGTTAATGGATGAAGATAAACTGTCTCACAGAAGACATACTATTTCAACTAAACATATTCTCTGTCTAACTTGTTGCACCATTACCTATCGACTTACGTACATTTTCTACCATTAAAGGTTAACTTTTACAGCATATCAAATCATTTCAACATATGCTCATCCAATAAGATTATAATTTATGGATGAACCAATCAGATTTAAGATAGCAGGTCTTAAATTTTGGCGCAAGATTCATCCACTCATTTGGCTAAATATCATTATAGTTTATGTCAGTTCATGATGAAAACACTAACTCTAATGTTCAACTGTAGATGCTAATCCTAGTTCTTTACACTAATTTATAACCCTCATTTAACCCTCGTAAGTAGATAGACATTTTAACATTGCTCAAACGTCATCTCACCGTTCATCCACTAACTGGTATATAATCTAACTTCAATTATCAATAAAAAGGTATCAACTTTTAAATAATAACTTACCGATAACTTTTCACTTCTTCTTCTAAATGTCCACAACGTCTTTCAAGTTGTGAAACTTTTTCACGATATTGATCTAATGTAGCTTGTAATTCACTAATGGTACGAATTTTCACTTCTAATTCTATATTTAATTCATCACGTTCTCTTAATAATAATTCATGTTTATCTTCTAATGCAAAAAAATCATTTTCTAATTCTTCCACATATCTTGCATCAATACTTGATGCTGATGAATGACTAATACCAATTGTGGATTGTTGTTGTTGCGGTTGTCCAATTGTTGTATTCACAAGATTAGTGGATTTTCTTAATTCATGATTACGAACATCTGAATCGGAATATCTGTAATAAATGAAAGAAAAATATGGTAATAAACCAATTTAAAAGTACCTATTGTACTTAGTTTTAAACTGAAATTCTATAATTTAATGATTAAATTCATGAGTCATTGAAGCTAGACCAGTATGGAAAACTTGGAAGCATTGATGGCCATTTCATCCCAGTGTGGGACTATTCTGTGACAGTACGCATCTACGATCCTGCTTTGCGAGATTCGAACCCAGGACCTATCGATCTCGCGCGCGAACGCTTGACCAGTAGACCATTCAATCTGTATTCAACGGTGTTAATGTATAACTTCAATCAATCCACGAAATTTGAGCCACCGTTCATCATTGATTTCAGTAAGTTACTATCTCACAACAGAACCGGTTGAACTCCATTGATCACTGCTTCTCATTAGAACTCCAGTAAATAACTCTTGGAGACAGTCATAAGGGTGCATATCATGATTATAATCAGAGAGGTGTTTTGTGGAGATTGTAATAACTTTATACGTGAAGGTTGATTACAACGAGCTAGGTAAATTGGAACTCACAAAGATGACATTATTTTACTAATCTGTTTAAGTAACAAGAAAACGGGGATTTTGTATAAATTGTTCACTTTTTAAGTATACGATCATTATGGATTGTCGTTGTTATCAAAGAGCTGTTAAACATCAGAGAGTACTAAACATTGGATGTCTACTCAACAACCTGAAGACTAAGCACTCAATGTCATAACTGAAAGGTCCAGGGTTCAATCCCCAGTGGGGTCATGGATGATCACAGGTAGGGTGTCCTATATTAGAATGAAAATCTGTGTAATACGTCTTTCTTTTCAATGGTTGTTTAATTAATTTCAGTGTCTGACGTAAACTATGAACATAAAATCAAATAAGTGATCAACTTTTCCAAATTTTTATGTGCTTCCACGATTTCATACACGTTCTCTTGTGAAAGCGAAATTTTTTCAAAACTTTATTAACTTTATTCCTTAAGTATAATCATTCTTGTTGTAAGAGCGCTAATCAAGTGAGACTATATTTTTTTTACTTCCAGTGATAATGTGCACTGCTGAGGAGTCCCCTAGTTGGACGCAACGGCCATCCAGTACTTCCAGGTTTTCCATGGTGATCTAGCTTCAATTGACTCATGATCTTAACTATTAAAATTACTATAATATCTACAAAACACCTTCTGAGATTAATTAATTATTAATTAGATGATGTTCATCACAGATTAATCTTAGTCGGGGTACTATTAAAAGTATGAAAGTGATGAATAATACGACTTAATTTAGTAGTTGAATTCATCAGTCGATTAAAGCTAGACTAACATAGAAAACCTGAAAGCACTGGATGGACATCTCGTCCTAGTATGGGACTCCTCAATAGTTCAACTACTAAATTATTACAATCTCCACAAAACCCCTACTCTGATAATAATCATCATGTGCTTACTAGTGACTGGTTACAAGATGTATTTCTTGGAGTTCTAGTGCGAAGTCGTGGCTAGTGAGTTCAACCATTTCTGTTGTGAGACAGTTACTCACTGAAGATAATGGTGAACTGTGGTGCAATATCGTGGATTAGTTGAAGTTAGACATTAGCCCCGTTGAATACCGATTCAGTGGCTTAGTGGTTAAGCGTTCACGTGAGAAACCGAAGATCCTGGGTTCGGATCCTGAATGTGGGATCGCAGATGCGCACTGCTGAGGAGTCCTATACTACGACGAAAAAACCGTTCAGTGCCTTCACGTTCTTCATAATGGTGTACCTTACATCGACTCATAAACTCAACTCTTAAATTACTACAATCTTCACAAAACCCCCTTTCTGATAATAATATTATATAGTTTCGAAATGTTTTATTTATGGTAACAAAAATCTATCAGAATGATTCAGTATAGATTCTGAATTGTTTTACAATGGAAAGTCTGTTTGATTGATTGCATGCATTCTTATCAAGATTTCCTCACAACAGGTTGTCTTACTGATGTCTAATTGTATGAGGATTGTTTGAAAAAACTGAAAATGTTTGATTGGACAGGTTTGCCTTTATGATTGTTATACATTTTTTATTACTACAATGTCGCCTTATTGACAGTTGAGTTTCGTGCATATTCTAATTGTCTAATTCCACTCAGTAGTGTATCTTATTTGTGTTCATACTAATTGGATTGTTAGTCTCTTCATTCTATGTTGTCATACTGAAACAAATATAGTGGATTGGGTATATTTTTGGAAAGAATCCTTAAACATTCATTACTACTATACTACTACTACTACCAATAGCAGTCTAGGTATTTACAGCATAAAACTATGCTGTTCCAGAGTAGATTTTTGATCTTGAATAGATGATAAAAATCCAGTTATTTAGTAGGTTTATTTGGCTCCTAGTGATTGGAAAACATTAACGTTTATCCTTGAAACCATATTCTATCTTGGCGCCTACGGATCAGTTAGAGAAGGATATTTGTAAATCTTCAGAAAATGATAGTTCACATAATGCTCGAATTCATGTAAGCAAATTGTTTCAGTGAGATTCATTACAACTGATCAATTTTGTCTACAAGTAATCATTGACAGTGAAGCTAAGTAACATGTGTTTTGTTTTCATTATGGATATTAACTCTATCAGGATTCCAAGTACCCGTTTTTTTGTTAGTTCTCAACGTGTTGTCGAGTCATTTAATCTGATGATTAAGTCTAAATAAGATAAGAAGTAAACTTATGCTACTGTGGTGTGTGCTACTGATGTCGACAAATATGAGTAGTATGTATCATCAATCGAAAGTGAAATACCTGGTGGCAGAAGGTTAAGAAGATCAAAGAAAAGAGAACGACTGCCGTAGAAATGAAGGAACAGTGAAGTTTGAGACCGTTGGTTGACATTTTGCAAATGAAGTATTTACTGTATGGTTCTCAGATTTTACTAAGATATTCTGTAATTTTGTATTCAAACACATTCGATTGTCCCCACTTGTGTTCTCATTCACTACACTACCGATGGTATGAAGCTTTTCTGTATGTTTATAAATAGTTCTCTAATCTGTTCCACAGTCTCCTCATTAAGTATTTACATTAACCAAATGTTTATACTGCATTCTTTTTGGTGGTCATAACTAATCTATTAATGTAGATGAACGTGTTTCCGGTATTATTAATTTATACACCAAGTACAAATTTGTATAATCGTTAAGGCTAAGGATAATACCCGGCTTCTATACCTGATGTAGGCGAGGTATTATTTGAACTTGTCACTTAATATCTGCAAGTATGACACTTTAACCATGGAGTAAGTACGTCACAGTCACTAGTATACTTGTGTACACCAGTTTTTATTAGCATCTATCAAGATCACTTAGTCTTCCGTCTAAATTCTCAGTTATCGCTACTTCACTAAAATGATAACTATGTGGTTCTTTCAGTAACTTTAAGCAATCTACAATGAACCTTTACTAAAATATATCCATAGCTCTGTTAGTCAGTAACCCATGGTTTACATTTCCAACTCCGAATATTTTGTTATATACAGACTTTTCTATCCAAGTCAAACGTAGGGTACTGACTTAACAGTGATTTAGGTTGCTATTTACACAAGCTGACTGAAAATGAAGATATAAACTAAAGGTTATTGAATCAGTTGTATCTTTCTCGCTGTGAAATTTTATGATCATTGGTTAGAACTACTTATATCCAATATAGAAAGGGAGAGAAAGAGGGGGAAAGAAAATGGGGATAATGTCATACTTGATATTGTCTTAGAACAGAATAATAAACTACCTGAAACTTGAATTGGTATGTGAAATTTTCGATCGTACTGAAGTCTAGGACATTTTTTATGGATACTTTGGTATATACTTTGGTATATGTTGACAATAAAGGTATTTTAATCAAACAAAATTAATTCTCATAATCCTTCAAAACAATAGGAGGCTTTAAGCAAAAAATGGATAGTGGTGGAATAGCAGTGGAATCCAGTTTGACGCGCGTCTCTTTCTATTTGGGACTTGACAGCTGAATGTACCTGCATTACAGAATTTATGTACACTCTGAGACTCGAACCCAGTACCGTCCGCTTCAAACGCCATTGAGTTATCCACTTAGCTACTGAGTCCTGATAGCCGCCTAAGTTAAGTGGATAACGCAATGGCATTTAAAGCAAACGGTTCTGGGGTTCGAGTCCCGGAGTAAACATCGACTCTTAAATGCAGGTATAACCAGCTGACGTATCCTAAACAGGACGAAACGCGCGTCCAACTGGATTCCACTGTTATCCACTATCCATCTTTGCTAAAAGACAATGTTTATTCAAGTTATTCTTTCTAAAATACTGCAACATATTTTTAAATAAAACTGCAGTAATTTTTAAAAAAATATCAAATCCCTTTTAATTTCAATAGTTGAGATCATGAGTTTATTTAAGCTAGATCACCATGGAAAACCTGATGGCACTGGATGGTCGTTTTGTCCTAATGTGGGAGTCTTCCAAAGTTTCAATTAACTCATGATTTCAACTATTAAAAATTACTATAATATCCACAAGTATCCCTTTTAGTTGACAAAAGTAGATGTTTTTAATGATTAAACAAATAAAATTTTGATCAAAACATCACGAAATGGCATTCATTAGATAACCATTGAAAATCTGGGAATAAATGATGATCAAGTAATATCACTATCTGATCGAAGTTAGGCATATAAACATATTAGATGCTGATTCAGTGGTCCAAAGATTAAGCTCTCAGTGACAGGCCTAAATATTCCTGGATTCAATCTTCATTGAGGTTATGGATGTACATAGATGAGAAGTGTCATAGTAGTTTGAAACAGCTGTCTAGTGCTTTTTCGCTTCGAATGGTTATCTATTGAAAACTAGTTTATGATGTAAACTATAGAATTCAACACTCCCTACAAAGCCACATAACCGATATCATGATGATTCCTAAGTATATTAATGTAAAAAGGTTGAGTGAATGATATTTAACTACATAATGAAAAATAGTTGCGGAACACAGTATAAAGAGGACAGAAATCAACATGAAAATGATGAGGAATGGTTAAGGATGAATGATTGGTCGACTACCACTAGCTATTACCTAATCAATAGATTCACAACAAATTTCACTTCACAAGGTTGGGTTTTAGTGTAGAAAGGATATTAGAATTGCATATTGGAATATTCAAAGGTTTAGAAATAGTAAACCATCTAATCATCACCAACATAAAACCTGGCATAGATGTATATCAATCTAAGTTATCACATCCCAGAGCAGTATACTTTAAATGGATGTCAATATAATAAACACAAATGAAATGTAAGCAATCAAACGGAAATCTAAATATATCAAGTACAGTAAAAACGGAAGAAGTGAGGTAAAAGTAGAAACCGTTAATACTAACACTTAAGTGAGTAGTTTCCATATATCGATACGGCTCATAAAAACAGTTATTGATTTTGTTCACTGATATTATGAATGTATTTCCTAACGAACTGCTTTGCAAATTAACATTACAAATCAAATCGGTCGATGACAACAAAAGAAGAATAGAAAGTGAATTATTGTATAGTACACCCACTTCTTGACTGAGAGATAATTAATCATCAAAACACTAGATTGATATATAGTCAGAAATGTATGTAGAAAGTAAACTGTGGACAATCTCATGAATGTACACTATAATTACCTATATCCATATCATAAACATAATCAATAAAGTTTATTCCATAACGAAATATTGATATAATTCAATAGAAATAAAACAGGATACCATCTTGAAATAAGAGAATAAAATACACAAACCTTTGTCCAACTGCAATTTTTCTTGCAGCAGCTCTAGCCGCTGTATTACTACCAAATAATCCATTGTTATTTTTACTAATTGATGAATCACGTGACTTTGTTTCACAACTACTATTAACGGTAGTAGTAGTAGTAGTAGTTATTGTACTACTACTAATAGAAGTATTAGTAGTATTAGTAGTATTATCAGACACAACAACACAACCAACTCCACTAATATTATTATTATTATTATTATTATTAATATTCACATTACTATCAAATGATAATTGAGATTTCAAAGTTGAATTCATTTCATCCTTTAAATTATTACTAATTAACTTATGATGTTCAGGTTGTGTACGAAAACAATTTTTACAAACAGATTTACGCCATTGTTGTGGTTCAAAATTAAAACATTCTTTTTTAGTCTTATTATTAGTTGATGTTAATAATCCTGAATTATCAGAACTAAATGTTGACATGGATTGAGACTGAGATTGGAGTTGTGGTTGTTGTTGTTGTTGCTGTTGTTGTTGTTGTTGTTGTATTTGTGAAGGCAATGATGAACGTCGAAATAATCCACTTTCAGATGACATGGTCTATATGATTATCAACTAACCTCAGCGTCGTTTTCGTTGTCGTCGTTTTCGTAATAATAGTAATAATATCAGTTATGATACTATTTTAAACATTCAAATCATTTATACATACATCAATAATATTTTATTCAATGAATTCAATGGATTGAAAAAGATCATGTCGAAAGTGAACACATTAGAAAACGATTAGTATATAAAGGAAATGTAAACATATGGAAGAAGGACATTGTTTTGCTTTATGATTTGATCTTGATGAATAAACTATTCTTTAATGAATAATAGTGTTATATAATAGTGTTAATTGTTAAATAGCTGCCCAAATGTGTGTCCTACCCCCCCAGTAAATGTAATAAATTGTTGTTGATTTTTCTCTCGTCAATGTAACTCAGTGTTTATTTAAATAATTTTACTTTACTAATTGAATAGTGCAGTATTTTCATTTTGTACTGTATAACTCCTCAATGACCAAAAAAAACACCCAATGAAATAGGTAGTTTGACTCGTATAACACAGAATGATTGAGGAAGCGAGAGAGCAAGCGAGCGAACGAGTGAGTGAGTGCACGCGCCAGGAAGAGAGAGAGAGAGAGTAAATAAGGATTTTGCTTCGTATTCTTTCAAAAAAATCCGAATCAATGTTCATTTACTATCATTTGATAAATGAAATCGAAAAACAGTCTGTTATACGAGACACTTTATACAGAAATGACTAATATTGTAAATTTCAAATAGTGCTGCTTTATTTTTTTTTCTATTCAGTGTATTGCTTGTTCACTGAAGATTTCTATCCCTACTATAGCACATATAGTGACATACACACACATACTACACACACGAAAACCTCTTATCCCATGTTATTTAATGTCATGGTGATTGGTATTTTTGCTTCTATAACCAAATATATGACTTGTCTCAAGAAGAGGACATGAAGAGTTACACATTAAAACATTGGGTTTTACATCAGACTATAACACTCCTATCTGTATGGCCTGTCTATGTGTTTTTATTATCCCTATACAAGCACACATTTATCCATTGTTTATCCAATCATTTCATTGATGATGGGCACTTTTTAATTGATTCATTCATTAGAATGTAAACTATACATTTATATACAATTGTAAAAGGTAGTCAATATACACATATCTGACATCTTCGTAAATAATATCCAGAATGCTATAGATGAAAAATGGTATTGATAGATATTTACGTAACCAGCTAAACAATTTGTTGAATGAATGAACAATTCAGACAACCGCATTAGTAAACAAAAATATACACTTATTATTATTATTATTATCAGAAGGGGTTTGTGGAGATTTTAGAAATTCCACAGATTGAAATCATGAGTCAGTTGAAGCTAAATCACCATGGAAAACCTGGAAGCACTGGATGGCCGTGGATGTTCACTGCTGAGGAGTCCCATATTAGAACGAAACGGATGTCCATTGCTTCAACTGACTCATGATTTCAATCTGTGGAACTTATTATTATTAACTTACAATATATTTCAAACTTTCTTTTACTCAGTTTATATGTACAAGTATATATTCAGTGAAAGACTGAGTATAAGCAAGGGTGGATAGTGATGGAATAGCAGTGGAATCCAGTTTAACGTGCATCTCGTCCGATTTGAGACTTGTCAGTTGGATGTACCTACATCTCAGAGTTAATGTTTACCACATTGCACAAGAAAGTGATTTTCAGAACTCAATAGCTAAGTGGATAATGCGATGGCGTTTGAAATGAATGGTACTGGGTTTGAGTCTTAGAGTGAATATCAAGTATGAGATCACGTACATCCAGTTGACGAGTCCCAAATGAGACGAAATGCGCATCAAACTGGATCCCACTTCTATTCCACCACTATCAAATTTGCTTGTAATGCTTGTGACTTAAGGCTATATCGAGGCAACCGGTACAGTATGCACATATGCCAACATGAGACTGATCAATTGTAGTCCGAAACATCAGTGGGAAGATTCAAACAAACAACAGCAAGTGAATTTAAAGACTGAGTATATCTAGGCAGATCATAGAAAATAGTTGATAAAAGGAAAGTGACTTATTGATCACTTCAAAATTATTTTATTAATACAGTTAACTCTTTACTCAAAACTCCTGTATGTTTTACCCAGTCAATGGAATGTTTTCTGGTTACCTTCAAGAGCTGACAACACATATTTTACAAAGCTTAATTACTTACTTAAGCCTGTTAATCCTTCTGAAGGAGCATAGGCTGTCAACCAAGATTTTTCAACTAACTCTGTCCTGGATAATCTTTTCCGGTTGTTTCCAATAACTATTGATTCTCCTGTTGTGTGCCTTCAATTCCCGGAGCGATGTATTCTCTGATCTGCATCTTTTCCTCTTCCCTTCAAAATTCCGATTTGGAGCTTGCTTTGTAATCCAGTTTGGTGTTTTCTGCTGTGCACTATGTATCCACCTCCAGCGTTTATTCCTAACATTGAGTATCATACATACATAGTTATTCATAAATACTTGTACTTTTTGATGATGGTTACACTAGTTCTCCAAGTTTCAACTGTGTACAGTACAACTGTCTTGACGTTTGTATTGAACATTTGACTTCGATGTTGGTTGTCAGACAGTTGTTTTGAGTTCTATATGTTCTTTAACTGTAGGAATTCTGTCCTTACTTTTCCATCCTTTCCCTCACGTGTAAATCGATCCTCCTTGTTTACCAATGATGCCGCTCAGGTACGTGAAAGTTTCCACCTCTTCTAGAGCCTCTCGACCAGTTGTAATTACGTTGATGCTCTCTGAGCTGTATTAGAGGTTTTGCTTTTTCCCGTGTGTGTCGAGAACTACTGATTCAGAGGCTGCTACTACACTGGTTGTCTTGATCAGTATTTGTTGATACGTGTGGAATAGAAGGGCCAGGTCGTCTGCCAAGTCCAAATCGTCTAATTCCATCCAAGTTGTACATTATTTTGTTCAACGAAGATCTGTAGCTTCGCGATTTGCTCTATGCATGACTGATCCTTACAGAATCCAGCTTGTTGATCTCGAAGTTGGGCGTCTATTGAATCTCTTGTTTGGTTCAGCAACGCTCTGTCGGCACTTGCACTTCCCCTCAAATCTTCCTGAATAGAACGTTAAAGCTTCTTTGACTCCTTTCCTGTTGTCCTCTTTATTAGTTTCCTTTTCTTCAAGTAGGCCTTGTAAGGCTTGGAACCTGTTGTTGAGAGCTGACTTGAATTTGTTGAGTTTGCCAGTATTTCCAAGAAAGGCTCTTTTGAACCTTTGTAATGCTGTTTGTGCAGGTGCCTGGTTCTTCTTTAGGTTCAGTTTTATCCCGACAACCGCCAGGTGGTGATCTGAAGCTATGTCAGCCCTACTCCTGGTTCCCAAGTCTTCCATTAACCTTCTGATTTTGTTGGTGATGCAAATATGGTCGGTCTGGTTCTCTTTGGTGTGATCCGGTGAGACTCATATAACTATGTATATGCATTTTTATGGGAATATAGTGTCATCTATAATCATTTTGTTGAAGACACACAAATTTGCAAGTCATTCACCATTCTTATTCCTTTCTGGTAGTATATGTCGTTCCATGATATCTTCATACCCGGTGTTATCCATCCTGACTTTGGCGTCTAGGTCTTCCATCCAGATGATTAAGTCCTCTCCTGGGCACTCCATGCTTTTTAATCCATGAAATGTACTCAGATCAATCTAATGAAACTCATAGAATAAAACAGTAACTAAATCTGTGTCATACATGGAACTCATTCGATGCAACGTCTTATCAATATGTTCTTAAGTAATTTCACAGTGATTATACTAGAACAAATATAATTATATGTTTGACTTGAAGATAAATTTATTCGTTGCCAATTACTCACAATATTGAAGGAGAATGAAATAACTCCTTTTTTCAGACTGCTAAACACCTAGTGAAGAATTCAACACAACTGTAACTTGTGGTCGAAAATCCTTATCAAAGAATTCACGTAGTCTGTGCTAATCCGGTACAAAGAAAAATTCATTAAGTTATCAAGGATGATTTTGTAAAGTAGCCAGAAATACTGATTTAGACAGTTGAAATAAAACTAATTAAGCTAGACAATTTAACTGTCATAGAACATGATTACTGATAATGACTCACAATTCGTCTAACATTATTTTAAGCAGTTCCACAAAGTACGGAATTATTTCTTTATGTTTTTGGAGGTTACCACAGTCCTGAACCTAACAGAATTTCAATGCTCCTTGAATATTATTCAATTAATAGAAACTAACTTTGGATTTTATCCATGATCAATACATAATTATTCAAAGAAATATTTTTTATTTAATGGTTGAAATCATGAGTCAACTGAAGCTAGACCACCATTGAAAACCTGGAAGTACTGGACGGCCGTTTCGTTCTAGTATGGAACTCCTCAACAGTGAACATCCATGATTATTGGAAAACATTTCAGTTAACAAGTCAATAATATTCATAACTACATTTTGATGTCTATGTTGGTATATTGGATTCCTGTGCGAACTGTCTTGACATAAGAATTTCGCCTTACGTTTCATGTAGAACAAATGTATTATGGCCATCAGTGTGATCCAGTACATGTGGTTTGTTCTATTTAAAAATCGTTAGTTGAAATATCAAAATATTACAAAAAGGTTTTTTCCAATCACAAAGAAAGGAGAATAGCTGAAGTGACTCATATAATGCTTAATCCTACTTCTCTCAATAGAAAAGAAGGCCTTACCATACATTCTACTGGGACTATCTATCCTAACCACCTAATCTGATATTATTCATAATTCACACTATTATCTTACAAATTAAACTCTATCCTTTCTCACCATAAAGGTCACACATTTTTCATCCTTAACTGTGCACATATACATACACAAAATTTCACATATGCGTCGCTTATGAAACACCTTGACCGAAACGACATGACATTAACTCATTCAGACCTGTTTTTTGATTGATCACATAATATTCTTGTTGTTCCGTCGTTCCGTTGTATTATTTAAACTTGGATTAATTTTGATTTGGTTATTTATCCTCTGAAGAAGTGGTTTACATTGAGTCACGAAACCTCAAGTTCCAGTGTAAACAATACTGTGTTGTAGTGCGGCGTGTGCTACTAAT